AACTCTTATTTCTTTAATTATATCCTGATTAGTAGTTCTTTGATTTTAAAATATAATATATGAATAAATACTAATTATAGTTTTTAAATTTATTATGAAATTGATATTTAATAATTCAATATTGTAATTTAAACAGAAAAATGATAAAAATACTAAAGAACTTATATTATGCTTNGAGAAATTATAAAAATAATAAAGAAGTTATATTTTGCTTTACTTTTACGTGTATAAAAATTTAAAAGGCTGGATACAATAATTTTCAATAAAAACTGTTTGTTACTATAAATAAATGCACTGGACTACAAGGAACTTTCATCAAAAGCAAAAATATACTTTAAAAAAATCAACTTTTTGCGTTGTTTTCAAATCTGCAATTAGACTTTTTCTATCACTTCTAATTTTTAATATTATTATTAATTACATATAAAATAATAATTAAAAGAAAAAAAATTTGTTTTCAAATAATTACTGATTAGATTTTTAATATGTTAAAAATTCATGTTTTTTTTTACAGCCTCGCAAAAGTTCAAAAACATGAGCTTTTTTAATTTTCTCAAAAAATATTGAACTTACAAAAATTGTTTAAAAGACAATTACATACAAAAAAATTATCTTATATTTTTTCATTTAAACAAATATTTTTCGAGTTACATTACATTTAATATGAGTACTAAAATTTATATTCCATTTTTTTCATTTTACGGTTACTTTTTATCATGTTACACTTACGTTAGACACAATGTTATAAATGCATATGTGTGTATGTGTGAGTTTATTTATTTATTGTATCATTAAAGTGTAGTGTATATTAATATACAAGCGATAGAGTAGGTAATTGATTTCACGCTATATTGTTTAAACCCAACTAAACGCTAAATTGTACATTCCCAAACAACAATCATATTATGTCAATTGCCACCGGAATTTTCTTTTTCTTTGCCATAATCCCAACTATTTGGGATCGGCCACCCTTATCCTAAGCTTCTACTTGACACTATCTCCCTCATCTTCTATGCTCACATCAGCTGTCCACAAATCGCATTAAATAACATCCCTCAATCTCCTTTTTGGTCTTCCTCTACCTCTTCTTGCTTCAAAATTCATTTCTATAACTGTTCTTACAGCTTCTCATTCTTCTCTCCTCATAACATGACTAAACAATCTAAGTCTATTTTCTGTCATCTTATCCACGATTGACGCAACACCTATACTTCCTCTTATATGCTCGTTCCTTATCCTATCTTCTCTAGTCACTCCACTCATTCAACTAAACATTCTCATCTCTGCTACACTAATTCTCCGCTCTACTTTCTTATCAACCGCCCAACCCAATGAACTATACATCATAGCTGGCCTCACAATTTCAGATTCGAAAACAACGCAAAAAGTTGATTTTTTTTAAGTATATTTTTGCTTCTGATGAAAGTTCCTTGTAGTCCAGTGCATTTATTTATAGTAACAAACAGTTTTTATTGAAAATTATTGTATCCAGCCTTTTAAATTTTTATACACATAAAAGTAAAGCATAATATAAGTTCTTTATTATTTTTATAATTTCTCCGTTTAAATTACAATATTTAATTATTGAATATCAATTTCATACTAAATTTAAAAACTATAATTAGTATTTATTCATATATTATATTTTAAAATCAATGAACTACTAATCAGGATATAATTAAAGAAATAAGAGTTGGTGTTGCTTTTGGAATAATACACCAATTTTTCTAAATAAAACACTATCTATAGATTTGCATCGAAGTGTTTCTTATGATAGTGATTTTAATCACTGTCAGATATCATCTATACTTGTCCCATCTTATGCCTCGTCCATACTGTGCCTCGACCCCACTGTGCTACCGTTTTTTTGCTTGATGATACGTCCCTCTCATTCAATACGAGAATTTTAATTAAATAATTGACTATAAATTGAGTAAAGTAATATTCATAACTGTAAAGTGTTAGTGTTAAGATAGCAAAAAAAACTAGGTTCATTCTATAATACATTAATATTTAATAATTATCACATCTTTAACAGAAAATGTTTGTCCGGCCTAATATATCTTATGAGGAAGAACTTAGAAAACACGTAATTGATTATCTGAAATAAACTGACTGGGTCTGAAAATGTTTTTACTTCATTTTTAAATTAGATTCACATTCGTATAATTTTTAAACTATACTGAAATAATTAGCCGTTGGTAAAGTTATATTTTTATATAATATTTACTTTTGATTCAATATGTTACCACAATTATTATTTTATGGATCATTTATCATTATACAGGTAAATGTTTTAATTATTTTGTAACATTAATTTAATTAAGTATATTTGTCATTAAATTCATTTTAAATGATTTTTTTACTTTATAATTACACAATATATTATTTTTTTTAATTTTTTTCAATTGCTAATATTTTTATGTAATTTATACCGATACTAATTGTTTAAAAAATGGGTATTTTCGATAATATTTTAACTCTAACTATAAATTTGAATTGAAAAGTCAGAAAAAATTTATTTTGAAATTAAATTACTAATTAAATTATATAATTTTTACGTATTGTTATTTGTAAAAAAAAATTTTAATTGAGGTTTTTACAAAAAAATTATAACATTTTTGAATATTAATAAGAATGATAAGTCTATTAATAAATATAAAATAGTTAAAATTGGATTTTAGATTTAATTTCTAAAAATAACTATGGCAAAACTAAACAACTACTTCTAATTATGTATATTATTAAAAAATATTCTAAAATTAAATAAACTTTTTATGTTTTATAATACGTTTTATTTTTTAGGTTATGTGTGGTATATACGATTTAGAAATTTCAAGTTTAAAAGATAAATCAGCTTTACAATTAAAACGAGACATTTATGACATTTCTGTATCAGCAGAATCAATAGACAATATTCAAATAAATAACGAAAGTAAAAATTCTAATGAGTTTTATGATTCTCCGATAATTTTTTCAGAAAAAGCGCCAATTACAATTAATTTCAAAATGAAACCAAAAAGTACAAGTTCTATTTTTCGTTCAAAAAATTCAAACCCAATAGTTTTATCTAATGGAGGAACAGTTGTTGTTAATTATGACTATAAAAACACAGGTACACACGTAATCTCATCTGCAACAAATCCTAGTGATAGAAATCCTGTATGTATACTAGCTAAAGTAATGGTTGAGATGCCAAGCGGCATAATAATGTCTTATTTAAAATTTAAAACAATTAGTTGTTATTTACCAGAAGAATTGAAGTCTGACGTATCGGTTTTGATCGACGATGAAAAAATGTCTTATAAACAATTTGAAGAGATGCTACGATTAAATAATTGTAATGATATGGAAGACAATGAAAGCTGTTGTAGCTTAGATGAAGACTATATTACACTTAATGATGGAACAGAAGTTAACTTAGACGTATATAGTAAAATATTAACTAGTATATCTAATGGATCTGAAACACTAATGATTCCAAATGTCTTTAATGGTTTATATTCAACTTATGCTATATTATTGGCAACAAAGTTACCAGAACTGACTGAATCTGCAATTGTTATAACTTCATCGGGATATAGAGTTCCATTTAATTTGTATTATGCTGTTGATAAAGAAAATTTTCAAAGGTCGTCAAATAATCAGGACATTAAACAAATTTGCTGGCATGATGGTACAACTGTAAATGTTCAGACAATTAGAAACATAATAAATGCTTTAAAAAACCCTGAAAGTATTAATTATGTATTTCCAAATGGTAAAAAATTACCATTTATTCCAAAAGATAATGAAGAGTGTTGGCAATTTCATAACATCAATCCAGCTGAAGTTCAAGTAGATATTTGTCGTTACAGACATGTACCATTACTAATTTTTAATGACATCGTAGCAGCTGTTCATATTCCAGATATAACTATCAAAGGTATGTAAACAAGAAATTAAATTTTTAATAGGTACACAAAAGTATTACATCGGAATAGTATCCAATTGCATATTTCCAATCAAATAAAAATCCTTAATAAATGATTCTATTGGTAGGTTTGATCTAATGGGTAAACAATTATATACCTAAAGAGAGTGTAATATAATCACATAACAAATTTTTAATGAGTACATCAAAATATCAAATAACTTTATTGTTGAAATTTTGTTGCTATTAAATTAGTTATTAACAATATAATAACAATTAGCGTACTATAAAAACAAAATTGCAATACATTTAAATTTATTTTGAATGTATATCAATCATTAAAATATGTTTGATAAAAATTCAAATAGAAGAGATACTACTGATACCATAAACATAGTCCTATTAAATAAAGATAAATTTATTCTAAATGATAATTCAGTTTTTATAAAGAATTATAGTATTCATAATATTAAATATAAAACTATAATATTAAATTTGAATCAAGAAAAACTGAAATGTATCCTTCCTGAAAAAATATGCTATTTATTTATTTTTTGTAATATACATGATGGAACAGAACCAATTGACAATTTTTGTAACTTTTGATAAAATTTAAAGAAATTTTCATTTATTGAATTAAAATTCATAATAAATTTTTTTAATAGTTTATGTATTTTTAGACTAGGATTATATCATAATTTTTAAAAATTTGTTATAGTAATAATTTTTTTTTTATTTTAAAATAAGTATGTATTGCAGATGAATTGCTTAAGCATTAGCAAGAGCTATACCTACTCAGTATATTAAAATGCATGTAACTAACTTGTAAATAATTATTCGTCCTAAAATTGTAATAAACTCGTCAAAATTTGTGAAAAAAGTCAAAAGTTACTATTTTTAAATTTTAAAAAATTTTTATAATTGTACACTAATAATAAAAATCCTGCACAGTGGAGACGTGGCATAGTTAGATCTAGTATAGATTTAATCTGACAGTGATTAAAATCACAATTATACTGGGTGATTTTTTTATCATAACCCACTCAATTACTTGCAGAATAATAATAATTTAAACATTTTTTTTTTTTCATTATCTTTAGTTACACATTATTCTTGAATTTTTAATTATGTAATACTTTTTAAGTTCATCCCTTATGCCTTGGAAGGGGGTCAACTTTGTTTTTTTAAATGGTAACACATATTTTTAATTAAATAAAATGTTTGAGTTTTTAATTTAATAGTAAATGGCATTTGAATTTTTAATATAACTTAATTCGTTTATTAGATATAATCATTTAAAGATTCAAATTTTTGAATTAATATACAGGTATAATACACAAGGGATTACAAATATAGGTAGCTAATTGGTTTTTTATAACATCGATATTAGCAGGTACACAGCATTGTTATTATCAATTGTAGTAAGGCACATTGTTATGAGTTTATAAATACACTAACTGACAATACAGAAAGTATATCTATTGATAATCATAATTGATAATAAACAATCCGTGACTGAGACAGCAATGTCATAAAAATCCAATTAGCTACCTGTATTTACAATCCCATGTGTATTATACATGTATATTAACTCAAAATTTTGAAACTTTAAATGTTTATATCTAATAAGCTAATAAAGTTATATTAAAAATTCAAATGCCATTTACTATTAAATTAAAAACTCAAACATTTTATTAAATTAAAAATATGTGTTACCATTTAAAAAAACAAAGTTGACCCCCCTCCAAGGCATAAGGGATGAACTTAAAAAGTATTACATAGTTAAAAATTCAAGAATAGTGTGTAACTAAAGATAATAAAAAAAAAAAAATGTTTAAATTATTATTATTCTGCAAGTAATTGAGTGGGTTATGATAAAAAAATCACCCTGTATAAAACGCTTCGATGCAAATCTATAGATGGTGTTTAATTTTAAAAAAATAGTGGATTATTACAAAAGCAACATGATCTCCTATTTCCTTATTTATATCCTAATTACAAGTTTTATAATTCATCAGTGTAATATATGTATAAATAATTATATAGCAGTTAAATATAGTATGAAATTGATATTTAATAATTTAGTATTGTAATTTTTACGGAGAAATTATAAAAAATTATAAAGTCGATATTACTTTTATGGTAAATGCGTTTAAAAGTTGGTTGAAATACTTAAAAAAAAAATTCTTTGTAATTTATTTATAAATTTACTGGTCTACAAGGAATTTTCATCCGAGACCAAAATATAATTTTCTAAACCCATTTTCGCGCTGATTTCTAATCTGCACTGAGAGTTTCGCATATGGTCCCTAAATAATAATAAAATCTTTATAAACAAATATTTATATCCTAACAAGTATTTATGTTTAATTATTAGATTACGTATGAATAATTGATTAATATATTTTAATTAAAAATTAGTTGAAAAAGTTCTAATTTCTATATGCATTTAACCCTCCCAGCATAATGTGAGGTCGTCCGATTAAAAAAAAAAGTATTTCGCATAAAAGAAATATAAAAATAGTACTTGTCATAAAAAATTGTAATGATCCATACATTTTTCAAAAAGTTATAGTATTATAAAGTTAAAAATATAAAAAAGAATTTTTTTACAAAAATCGTATATTTTTTATTAAATTTAATGTCCGTTTTCACCATGCTAAAATAGTTCGCTTTGATATTTAAAAATACAGACTATTCATCACAAAAACTCTTTGATCTGCAGCTGGCGTTGAATTATATAAATATCTTCTTTTTGTAATCTGACTTTGACTTTATGATAACTTAGCGTTTATCACATAAGATTAAAATTGTGAAAAGCTGGCCAACGGAATTTATAATTCAATACATTTTACAAATAATGATGATGATAAAGCAGTGAGATAATCTTTTGAAAACAATTAGCCAGTTCATTGGTGGAGTAATTCACTGTTTATGATTTTTGTTAAGAGAGGCCTGAATACAAATTTGATAAATTGTCATTTTGTATATATATCATTGGAGGGTGATGCACTTGATACGGTTAAGTTTTAATTAAATCTCTTAAAGAAATTATTCACCTCAGAATATTGAAATTTGGAAGAAATATTCCTTGATATATTGAGACCAATCGGTGAAAACTAATTAATTTATTTTAATTATTTTAAGAATTTTTCATATGATTATACATAAAAAAAATTTTCATATAAAATTTATAAATATTACTATATTACTACATTACTGTAAATTAATTCAATATATAGGATACATTTTAAATAAACAACTAAAATATTAATACATAATTTTTGAAAAATTGTTCAATTTTTTTTATAGGACCTATATAATAAAACGGAAACATATTGTTTACTTCAACTTATTTTAATTTTATTAGATACTTAATTTAATTCAAATTTAAATCACACTGTTTTGATTGTTATTCAGTATTTTGTTGTATTAAATACCTTCAAACTACCCAGTTTCATAAAAATTTAAATAAAAAGTATTAAATAATTTTTAACATTTAAATTGTTTTTTACTGTATAATATTTTAAACTTATTATGTAGTATGTGATGTTTACCGGTTCCTGTCCGTAACGCGTTCACCAATAAAATCATATAAATCCTAAAAAGTTGGATTCACTACTAGGCAAGGTTCTATATACATAATGACATTTATTTTATTTTATTTCATTTTATTAAATGACACTTATTAGAAATATTACACCATTAATCTATTTGCTAAGTTTTATAGATTAAATTTTGGAGGAAAATTAATAAAAAAGCTGGTAAACTAGTAGTGTAGCCGATGATTTTTTTGTATTATAAGTGAAATTAGTTATAAAATAACAAATTAATAATAAAATAAAATAATATTAAGCTTAAAGTACAGCAAAAAAATGTCAAACACGTATTAATAATATAAATGTTCAAAATTAAAATACAAAGATTATACATTTTCTAATACGACATATTTTAAATCATAATTTAAAAATATTACAAATTAATCAACAATATACAAAATAAATTCATGATTTTATTTGAGAATAGATATGAGGGAGGAAATGAAACCTTACACGCTGAGTTGACTATGTTCAATTGAGTCAACAAGACTAAATTTGTTTAATAATATTGAATACAATATAATGGTTATTATTGTAATAATAGTCAAACGGGCAATTGACATCAGTCAATAGGTTTGTAGGCTTTTCATACGGAACCGCAAGACTGCAAAGCACGTCTCTATTAGACAAGCATATGTGAGATCTTATTATACTCGTAATGATAAAATAGTTAAGGCTTTAATAATGTGAAAGAACAATATTTTAATATAAAAAAATGATAAATAGTCAATGAGCAAAATGTGTTGTAAACATGAAGAGAATAATTTACTATTACAATAAAAATGTATTAATTTAATTAAGTTCATGTTACAAAGAACGGGTATAAGAAAAATGAATGGACATATTAAAAGAGGGTCAGGAAAGTGTTAAAATTACCAATGATTCCAAGTTGTAACCAACATTTGACCTTCACTCATTTTTTGATTGCCAGAAAACTAATAACGGTTATTCTAAAAAAAGGTGTTACTTTATAATTTAAAATAGTTTTTTTGAAGTTATTAAAGATGTTAATAATAAATTTACTCTCATTACATATATTTAATATGTTCGTATTTATCTAAAGACTAAGAAAAATTAGACAAATGTCAGACATTTGTGATAATATTTGAGAGGTACATCTTTTTAAGCTTAGAAAATTATAATTATTGTTATATAAAAAAACATTTTAGGGTGGTAAAAATTAATAAAACACATCATCATCTCAAAAATTTTAAGTTTGTTTTTCTCGCGTTTTACCTGTAACTTTAAGAATAAATTAAAATTAAAATATGTAATTGCTAAAACTTACATAGTAAAGATAAAGACTTTTGTTGCCTAGGTTATAACAAATAAATGAAACCCATGAAATCTTAGGTTAAAGGGCCATAATCATCCATTTTTCAAACTTAAACTTACCATTAGTCCAATAACGTTATCTTGAATTTTTTTAAGAAACTTAAAATTTAAATTAGTCGTTTACTAATTTTAGAAGATTTTGATATAGATAGTTTTATAAAACGATTTAATATCGTTTATATGTAGTACGTTAAAACATTTTAATGTAAATTAATTAAGTGTAAACTTAATTGTTAGAAGTCTAAAGTGAAGCTAATTGTAATTATTTTTTTTTACAAAATTGTTTTTTCAGAGCAACCTTCAACGTGTTATCCAGATCCTGATACCATCTAACTAAAATATTATTTCTATTATCCATATTATTGTTTTTTTTTCATTTTTAAGCTATACTTAATTAAACTTTTGTTTTTAATGTATATTTTTGTACATAGATTTTAAATTATTATTAATAAAGTTGTACATGTTAAATTTAACATTCACCTAATAATTTTATATACAATAATATTAATTCCATTATTCATGGAAATTCTTATTATAGAAATGCAACTTAATCAAAATATCTTAATGAAGGTCATTAACACGTCATACTGATACATAAATGTCTTATAATGATTATTTGTTAAACATTTGATATACTAGGATTAAGTTATGAATAGGTTAATGACAAAAACGTTTCGTTAATGAATAGTCGTTTTGAAAATCTTCGGTTGTGAATAGCCATGAAATTATACACCTTAAGTTTATTCATCGCAGTGGCGATTTTCTATCCACCGGTAAGTAAATTTTTTTATGTTGATCATTATGAAAAAGCAATAATCATCATTTGATAAGAATAAAATTTCATATTCTTAATTTAATAAATTTATAAATTAAGTCTAACTAAATGCTAAATTTTATAACGAAATTTAAAAATAAATTAAATTCTTACCAAGTTAGTAAATAAATCATTTGTTGAAAATTTTCACGAAATAAGAAAAAGTTTTAACTTTGGCTAACTTTATTTTTTCAGAGTTCCGAATGTTGTCTAGATTTATTATTGAAATCATTTGTTCAAATTTTCAATCCAACAATTGAAGCGGGACCCACTCGAGTCCTCTCACCTCACGACTATTCCGATGGAATAGTGCCTAATCATAATCCTAGTAATAACATTGAAAGTAATAGAGTTGGCGATTCTATTAACTCACTATCAGCAGAATCCTTAAAGAAAGATCCTCAACCAACAAATAATGTTCCAATCGCAGACTATGAAGATAAAAGTAATACTAATAAGCGTAAAGAGAAAAAACTTGTTTTGAATAAAAAGGCATCAGAAGATGACTATAATTTAGACTACGAAGATGACTGTTTTTCGAGTACAGAAGAAAAAGACGATACTGAGGATTTTAATTTTGATGAAAAAAAAACCTATAAAGAACAAACAAATATAAAAAACAACCGACCAAAGGTGGATAATGGTTTAGAATCTGATGATTGTGTTTCTTCAAAGGACAGCGACAACACCTCCAAAAAAAATGATAAAAATATATACTGCGATGAGAGTAACAAATCAAAAAAAATAAAAAATAAAAAATTAGAAAGTCATGATGTGTCTAATAAAGAAAGCAACAACGTTGAATGGATAAATAAAAAAAATAGCAAACATATTGTTGAAAATATTAAAAATAATAAAGATGTTGAAAATAACAAAAGTAAAGGAAAGAAAACATTAAGCAATATCAAAACTCAAAAGGAAAGTTGTCCAGTTGAAAAAGTTAAAGGGCAGAAAATTATTGGAAGTAAAATTTTAACGACAGGTAATACTGATTCCACCAATATAAATAAAAAGAAAAATTTAGTCGAAAATAAAAAAAAATCAGTAAATGATAATCTGAAAGGAATGGGTAAAAATGAAAAAATGAAAAATTCTTCCAACGAAAAAAATAAAGAGAAAAAAGCTTCTAAAAGCAATATAATAACTGGTAACAGTCATTTAGATAAAAATATTAACAAAAAAACAACAGTTGGAAACAGTCAGTCAGAAGAAATCAATAAAAATACCGACGTCGAAAACGACACTAATAACGATTTATATAATATTCAAATCAAAGACAGTTATGACATTTTTGGAACTGACAAAATTTACTCTGATGACTACCACCAACCTTACAGAAATTATGATAATAGAGAAGGAAGTCAAAGAAGTAGCTACGATAGTCAATCAAACCCAGATGCATATGGAACAGTGGAACTCAATTATATACCAGGAGTTAGACCTATTACTGACTTTTTTATTAGCTTATTAGAACACATACAATTAACTTCAAAAGCTAATTTACAAAAATCTAAAGATGATTCTGAAGTTAATTATCGACATACCACTAAACCAATTACATCACCTATAAAATCGAGTTCTAGATCATAAAATTAAGTGATTATGCAATTGAATAATTTATTAGCATTTGTCTATAATGATAAATTAACCAAATCCTATTTAAATATTACATATATTTCATTAGTGATGACTAGGTGAAATTAATTATTGTTTATATAGTTATGAAAAAATAATGGGTGTTGATTTTTATCACAATTTTTATTGTAAAATGATATCTGAATAGTAATGTTTTCAAAATTTTATAAATTATTTATTTAAGTGTTAAAAATCATAATTTAATTTTTAGATACTTTCAAACAATTAATTTTTTTGTATTAATTTATTTTAAAAACTAATGAATAGTATTTTATTAAGTATTAATTACCATTAAGAAGAAAAAAATAAAATATTAACAATGCAGTCATGTAATTTCGATTTAGTTTACTAAATAACAATAATTACCGTATTTTGAAACACCACACGATTTTTAAGTTAATTAAAAACTATACAAAAAATAAAAAAGTAACAATGTATTAAATTATAATTTAAATATTTGGCTATTATTATAGGTCATTATTTTAACAGTTATAAACTCAATTTTACAAAAATTAGCAAATTAAAAAAATATATATTAGTTGACTTGACTATTATTTCAAAATAAATTACAGATTTCTTTGTACACACACAATTTTATTAACATATATAAATAACTAATAGTTTATTTAAATTATTTAACTTTTATTTACATCGAGGAAAATTTTTTTAACATATTTATTTAGTCCTGCAACAAAAAATTGCAGTAATCACGCAATTTTGAAAAATCAAATTTTATTAAATTCTTATACATTAAATATAATTACTTCTTTTTACTAAAGTAAAATACATTGAAAACTTCTATAAGCCCCTTAAAAATTATTTTTAAAATGTGGTATCTCAATATATATCATAAAAAATTAAAATCTAAATCATCATTTAATAACATTTTTCATTTTGGACTGCCTACACTTTCTAGTAGTAAAACAGTATTATACTACAATAAATTCTATATTAGATGCCCACAAATTTCTAAACATTTATATTAGGGTTGAAAATGAATCATTAAATATATATGAATTCTTTTGGAATTAGTGTGCAAAATGTTAATTTCTAGGTACAATATTCATTGAATATATAACAAGATAACTTTGAAAATTTTTTTCGTATTGGAGCTTTATAATATTTAGGAGATTATGGAATATATCATATGATATATAAACTATTATTCTCATTGTTACAAACAATGAGAACAATAGAAACCCGTTTCCTGACTTACTGAACACCCTGTATAACTATCACTAGACATTTTCCAACCTTACTCCTCCTCCCACAAAGATATAAAATGATAATAACTACTGGAAATACTAGTCCAAAAGTTGTCATTCGTTTTCTTGATTACAAATTAAAAATTATAAAATAATAATTGAATTATTAATTTAACCACTTTTTTGTTAAAAGAATAAAAATTTAACAAATATTTTGCCAAATCAACGAAAAAAATATTTTATTTAATAAAAAAATACTATTTATTTAACTAAAAAATTCTTGGAAGTCTATATATAAAAAATTATTAGTTTTAACTAAGGATTCTTTTTAGTATAATAATTAGAAAAGATGACCAAACCCAACCAAACAGTTTAGAGATTAACAAAGTTAAATGTGGACCTCATCGAACATTTTTATAAATATGAACCTGATTTTAGTATATATTTATAAAATATTAGGCTGTATAAAGTTATGCCAAAACTAGGTTATTTATATCAAGTACTATTTGAAATTTACACCTATATACAATAACTTACACTATCCTTAGACTTATGCGCAACTAAGTTGATTAAGAGAGCTTTGCACACCTCTAAATTAAAAATTATACACATATGTTATATTTTCTAATTTTTTAGCATTATATAAAATGGTATCAAACAATTTTATAGTAAAGGAACATTATTTTAATACTACCAAATATTTTAATCTAGTACGTCCGTGCAACATCAATTAAAAAAAAATATTAGCATCATTTAATATTTTTAAGACAAAAGTTAATTTTACTTATCCATTAATATTTAAAAAAAACAATTGTGCTAATTTAAATTATACAAACCAGGACGTCATTGAATTAAAATAATTTTTCTTAACTTTCAGAGAAAGTTAAAATTTAAAATTAAAAATGAAATTAGTCGTTATCAGCTTGTTTACATTTCATCAACAATGAATCTTTTGAGAGAACACGTACAATTTGTTTAGGCAACATACAATTTTTTTGTTGCTACAAATGATATGTTTTTTGTTGTGCGAAGGTTAAATTTCGACCGTCAAAATAAAATTGTTGAAAAATATGCAAACTAGCATGTCTAGATTTCTTTGCAACATTTTATAGATACTATTAATTTAATAATAATGTATAGGTAATTTGATGTTAAGAAGAATTATATCATAAATTCTTCTTTTATATTATGTACAAGTTCACAAAGATATTTTTGTGTGTACATGTATCTAAAGAAACTTTACTAATATATGTATATAAATTTTAAATCTTAAGAATAAATAATATATTTTAAAGGTTTAGAATTTATATTATAGTTATATTATATCTGAAACATTTTATTAAAAGATAATTAAAAATGATGTGTTTGATTTAAGCTAAATAAATTTTAAATATTTTTAACATATTAATTCATCTATTAAAAGGAACGATTTCATTGTTTTTTAATGGCAAAAATGTCCTCTTACATAATTAATTTATGATTAATAAAATCATAGCAGATCATTTATTTACTATTATACAAAAATCTATTTATAGATAAGTTTTTTATATTATAAAGATATTAGCCATTATTTTTTTTAAAAATTATTTGTTTGATGCAATAAATACTTTTAGTTTTCATTTTATTACACTAAGCACAAATGAATAAAATTAAAAATAAACATTCTAGCATTTCTTGATAAATTAACATATCAATAAGAGCACTTTAAATTAAAAAACCGAATCATAAGTTTATTATTGATTATGTATATAGTATTTAATAAATCATCTATAAATTGTGAAAATTGCGTGTAATATTCACTATTTATTTTCATTATTACGTGTTTCGATAAAATTTAAAATTTTTTAATGTAAGGTTCATCTTTGTTGTTGACTAATCACGTTTATTAATTCTAATTTTTTTTAACAAAAATAATAGTATACGTATTGATTATTAATAAGCTAAATTAAAAGTTTATCTATTAAAATGCCATATTGAATAAAAAAATAATTTATATGATTTTTTTTTATTATAACTTTTGTAATACCAAAAAATTATATGTATTTAAAAAATTGTAAATTTCTTGTTACACATGTTTTTATATAAGCTACCTGAAAGTATAATTTAGAAGACATACAAGTATGTATAGTCAACATGTAAATAGAAACAGTAAATTTACAATTATAGCATCATTTTAATACGTGTTCAAAACTAAGAAACTATAACTATCTAAAATATACTTTGAATATTCATTAGCTTTACTTTGTAAATATTAAATATTTATACATTCAAACGTGAATTATATTATGGTTATATCTGTATGATTCCCACGCAAATAGATCAATGACATATCAAACAATACCTACCATAGTCTTTCTACAATGAACATCATTTTTATTATTCCTTAGAAAATAATAACAGTAATTCGAATCAACATGATTTTTATGTGGTAAATTTACTACATATTGACTTCAAAATATTATTACTGTCCTATAAATCATAGTTTTATAATTAATAATCAAATATTAAAAAAACAGATTTATACTTTTTTTTTACTTACAACTAAATTATGATTAATTTATAAAAGTAAAATTTTATACATTATAAATTAGATTATTTACACTAGTAAATGGCTTAAAGGAAAAACTCTTTAGTGATAAAAACATATATTTAAGTACATAAAATTTTAATTTTTGAACATTACAGGTTTTCTTGGAATACCTAAAAAAATGTATTAAGCCGATTACAGTTCTTTAGTTCTTTAAAGCGAATAAAATTTTGTTGATGAAAAATTATTGTGTTAATATTTGGTATAAAAGTATGACATAATGTGTATACATATTATTTCGTATAATAATATTATACAAATTAATTTGCCAAAAAAAACATAAATAAATATCAATACGTGGTTTAAATTCAAATAACGTATAATGTTTCATTTATTTCTAAGTTAGTTTAAATATTCTTACAAATAATAATTTAAAATTTTATTAAAAATTGAGAATGTTGATATTAATATATAATTTTACTTATTTTATGTGACACAATGCTGTTCCTAATTTTATTGATAGATTTGTTTTGTATGAAAAACTATTTTTGTGTTTTTCTTTTCATACAATTTTTAACGGAATGTTTTAAGCATTCTCCTTTTTGTAATTTAATTTCACAATAATATTTATACTTAATAAATATTATTATATCAAATATTATAAAAATTTTATAATATTTATGATTATATTTGTACACTAGACTGATCATAATAAGGAGTCATCCCTTGTTGGTATCTACCACCATATCCATCGAGTTTATTCAACTTCTGAAGTAATCTTTTAGATATTATTTTGTTGGATAATTGCGGTTTTTTTGGTAAAAGATCTTTACTAATCATATTAAATTTACATCCATCAATAGAACTATAACTACCGTAGCTACACAAACCATAACCATTTGGCCCGTAATTATTGCCACTAATATAATAAGGGTACAAAGGAATTTGGTTTACTGTAGAAATATAAGAAGGTATTGCAGATCTCTCAGAGAAAGATGAGGCTCCTCCGGCCTGGTTTCCAGACAAGCAAGATAGACATCCATTACAAGTTCCGCTTAAAAGTTTTTTCTGGTTCTGACACCCATAACAACCTATTTTAATAAACACTTAAATGATTTATAATAGATTATGACAAAGTAATAAAAATAAAACTGCATAATTGATAACCAATAATACAGCGAAACCTGTTAAAAATAATAAATTATGTAGTTGAGTTTGGTGACAACATTTTTTTTAAATATAGAGACAATAATAACATTTGTACTAACATAGAAGTTATTTGTAGGAATAACTTAAAATTATAATTTTGAATTACTTGGTATAGAAATAATTACTTAAACCTTAATTATTCTGTTTCTTTAGAAAAAGTTATTTTCTTCAACTTCAACTGTACAACGTTATAACACAGTAACTAACTCTAACTAACCAATATTTATTAACATTTACTTTTTACATATTGCTTTTTATAAAAAGATAGGTTGAATTTTTCTATCATATCTTTATAGAAAACTCATAATAATTATTCTTGTAGAAGTTACAACACGATAAGAAACAAAATCGTAGAATAATATACATCACAAAATTTGCAAAAATCATTGTCTTGTAAAATTTAATACAAGTAATGTTTTGATATTGTACAGTTGACTTGTCATAATAAATATACTTACTAAAACTAGAAAAATGATGCATAAGAAACACGTAATACATCAAAAAGTCAAAAATGCTCTAAATAAAAATCTCTAAAACATGGAAATGATTTTAAAAAGTCTTCAAAAGGTAAAATTTTACTGAAAATTAATCTTAATAACAAATAGAACATAGTAACAATACATGTGCAAATGATTAAAAGTAATATAATATAGATCACTCGAATATTATTAAATATAAATATTAAACAATAAAAAAATTAATATTTTTTCAAATTTTAACTGATTAATGTTTGAATTTTATAAATTTCTAAATTATTAAAAAAGCAAAATATTTATATTTATTGTTTCTATTCGCATACGCCTTTTAAATTTTTTCTAAGGTAATGTTTTATGATATCAAATCTCTACATGGAATTCTACTAAAATAAATTGATTTATAAAAACTACAATTTTAAAATGTAAATTACAATTTATTAAAATATGATTGTAAAAATATTAAAAAATGTATTACAAAAGTTTGGAAGTATAAAATTCTTTATTGCGTATTTAAAATCCAATTGCAAAAATGTTATAATGTATAGTAACAATATATGCAGTACTAATAATATATATTAAAAATTAATATGATTACATTTAAATACTTCTTAAATGAATCAAAGTATCAAAAATAAATTTATTCATAGCTGTCATATAAATCAAATTTTGTACGTTAGTGTAATAAAAAAAACTACAACTTCCTATCTCTAGTAATTACTACATATATATTTTAGTCAAGCTTATGACCAATTAAAGATTAATACATTTTAGTTTATTAAGAACTGAATTACACTTACCATAGTTAAAACATCCATTTTGGGGCTCAAAACTACTAGCCTTAAAAAAAATACATCGACATAATGAAAAAATTAGTATAAAAATATATTTATTAATTGAAATATTGAAAAATTATTTATTATTGATAGTTTAAAATCATCTATTTAAACGTTAGTGCACAAAATATTACATTAAAAACAATAACAATTGCTGCAGATAATGAAACAAAACTAATTGTTTTTTATATTATGGTTTCTATTCATACCTCAATAAAAATTTGGCAACATAATATGATTATAAGACTAGAAGCAACTATAAACAAATTCATTATATTATTGGTAATGTAAAATAATTATTCATTCAGTTTTTCTAAATATGTATTTTTTTTATAATTTGATGACCCTGTAAATTTAGCAAAAAATATTTTAAATATTAACAACTTTGTATAATTACAAATGAGTTTCACTGTAAGATTATTGTTGGTGTATTGGTTATTTATAGGGATCATATGTTTACTGAAATTTTAAACCTACAATATGATATTTAAAATAAAAATACTTAATAATGAAGTATTTTTTTAGAATAATTGTTTAAAATGAAAATACTGTTGAAATTTTAGATAGTCTCAAGGACATCAACATCAATCATATTCGTTGACTTATTGATGAATCCATTTTGAACATAACCTGAAAATTATCGTAATAAATTATTTCATCACAAATAAACTAAATACTTTAAGTACTTAAAAAATGATAATTAAAATTATATATAATGATATATTTATAATTAATATTATTTAAAACAAAAAATATTAAAAATACCAATAGCCTCAAAAATATCCTTGGAACTAATTTAATACATTTTTATTTTAATTATTGTTTTTGAAGTAATTTTTTTATTTGACACAAATTTTATTTATTTAAAAACTATATAGTTAGATAAATTTATTTATATCACTTTTTTTTAAAAAAATAACACATTTGTGTAATTGTCATGCATTTTTTTATTAAGATTACATTTAATGTGAAACAAAGAAGGTATTAATTTTACTGTTATGTGTTTTTTTGTAAATATTTTCATTTCTTAATGGACTGATAGTGCTGATTATCCGAATTATATCTAATTAATGACATAACAATCGTAAAAAAAACCTATCAGCTGTATTAAATTTAAAAAAAATGTTGACAATATTTTATCCTCGTGGAATATCAAATACCCAGTGCTAATAGGGCATTTGTCCCGGGTAGAAGTTTAAAAGAAGCGGTAATTTTATTTTATATATCTTTGAAAGTGGGATTTTTTTAAAAATTTATTTTATCAAATATTATAACTCAAAAATAACAAAAAAAAAATAAATAAATAAATATCCTATTTAAATCTTACATTTTTGTCTTCTATTTAGTTATAACAAAATGTTATATTTTTCATATTAAACATTTGTATATAATTACATGTATACAGATTTTTATAAATAGCAAGTGCGGTAGTAAATAGAGTAATACGTATAATTATAATAAAACATTTTTCTATTAAGAATTTTTTTGGTATCACCATAATTTGATTAAGTTTGAATTTTATTGTTTTTTACAATTAAACTATATGTATAGTTTGCCAAATATGTAACAAAAGTGGCGCAGAAAACATTTTTTTTTAGTTCAGTAGTAAAAATATTCTTAATTTCTGAAATACTGGTCAAATCAATAGTAGTAATCAATCAGTCATTTTCTTAGTTGCTACATTTTATAACGCTTAAACTAGTAAAATATATATGTTGTCATTTAAAAATATTAAGTTGGTACTATGAAGGATAAAGAATTGATCTAAAAAATATTTAACCACCCAATAATAATTTATGCAAAATTCAAAAATGTTTAATTTACATAAATTAATGTGTAAATTATAAATTTCTTTGAGAGATAACAAGCGATCAATAAAATTGCCCTCTATATAATTGTAATTCAACTATACAACTATACAAAATTCAACTATACAAAATAAGGAAATGGGTCAATCGTTACAAAAAATGAGAACAATAGGAACTCTTTTCCCTATTTACTGAAAACTCTGTATTATTATTTTCTCGTTATATTAATCATATTTTTAATAGGGCTGGGTTTTACTTCTTTAATCAGTAATATACAGAGTGTTCAGTAAGTTAGGAAACAGTTAAATTGTTACAAACAATGAGTACAATAGAAATTCGTTTCCTTATTTACTGAACACTCTGTATAGAGTACAACTGACTAACTGACAATGCTTAATTATTGTCTTTATAGACTACGTTTTAAGCATATTTTGTTTTATTTACTACTAATTAAGAAAATTAATTAATTGAATTTATTTTATTTAACATATTAATTATCTTACAAAAGTTTTGATAAATCGATAACAATTTTAAAACAAATACTCATTTAGTTACAAGCATTTTAATAAAAAGAATTAGTATGTAGTGATAGTCGGTGAAACACATACTATAGTAAGTATACTTTGCCTGCGTTCCGTACCAACTAATTGTATTAAAATGCTTGTAATTCAATGAATATTTGTCCAAAAATTTTAGTCCATAAAATAGGTATAAAGTTAATAAGGTAAATGGTTGTAATTTAAATTGTCTTTGCAAATATGTTTAAAAAAATAACCACTTATATGGACAGCAAAAATGTTTACCAGCTAACTTAACTTAAGTTATTATTTTTAAGTACCTAATAATTTAATTAGGTTCACAATTAAAATTTAATAACTTATAATATTAACTTATTTTTTTCTAACTTAACTATATAATAAGAATTGATCACTTATGGCTAATATTATTTAAATCTAATAAATATATAACTTAAAAGACATAAAAATTACTAAAAAATCACTACAATACTACTATGGTACATTGTTCCCAAAATACATACCTACTAATTTTTGTGGCTTTTTAAGTTAATTATTTTTATAATTTTTGGTTTTAAATTAGTATTTATTTATTTTAAATGTATTTTTAATTTCTAACTTAACTATGAAGCATCATACTCCCCAAACGTATATTAAAGAAAGTCATTATGGTCCGTATTTTTAAAATATTTATAGACTTTTTTTTTTATTAAAGTAATTTAGTTGGCATATTTATCACCATCAGTCAGCAAAGTCATTTCACTAATATGTGTCTCTAAGATTGTCCCTGTAGACAATTATAAAATATCACTTTGCCTACTTTGACGTTTCTTGTGACACCGATTTATCCTAATCCTTAGACACAGTGCCTTATGGTGTATCTATGGGGATATTTTGGAGTAAGCCCCTCTCATTGACATAAAATCATGGTGGCAAAAGGTAGTAAAAGGGCGACCACCCCACTACTTAACGTTCTATAAGTTATCTGGATCCTCACCTATTATCGAATTCTTAAATCACCACTACAATTCAACCTATAAATAGGGTCATCCCAAAGTTAAAATATATGAACCAAGACATTTTTTTTTTTTTAGAAATACTTAGGAATTTATCTTTTACTTTGTATACATTTTTCGAAAATCTAAGCCTTGACTTATCCACAGAAAGTATTCAACTTAACTTCAAAAGTATAGCAACTTTTGCATAAAACGTTAACTCTTTCAACTTACATTTTAAAAGTATTCCGGAAATTCTTCGAACTTCAAATATATGTTAAAAAAAAGATTATGTAATGTACTATAAGGTAAAAAAAAATTTATCTCGACGATTTATCTTTAATATACAAATGGCTGCTATATTTAAAAATTATGTTATTTTTAAAATAAAATTTTCGATTCTATAGTTTCAACTTTAAATTGCTATAACTTTTTAAAAATATATGGATCAATATCATTTTTCTTTCATAAATACTTTATATATGTGCCTTTCTTCAGACGTATTTTTTTTTAAAAATCCATTTCTTCTTATACAGAAGAGTTCAAAACTTTAAAAAAATGTACAAAAAGTAGAACGTCAACTTAACTTCTGAAAATGTTCCGAAAATACTACAGACTAATGATATGTTAAATTAATGCTTATACTATTTACTATAAGTTAAAAAATAATTTGTCTCAATATCTTGTCTTCTATATGTAAACGGCTCCACGACTTAAACAACAAATATTATGTTGGTGAAAAGAATCATTTTTCGTGTTATAATTTTCTATTTCAATTTTTTTTTTCAATCAATTTGTCTACTTTTTAGATCAAACGGTATACAGGGTGATCCATTTAACATTGACCAGCAAATATCTCAAAAACTATTTATTATTTTAATAATTTTTTTTTTAAATTATTTTAGTTACATAAAACTCTACATTTATCCATGATCAGATAATTTTTAGGTTCATCCCTTATGCCTTAAAAGGGTACCAACTTTTTTTTTTCAAATGGAAACATATATTTTTAGTTAGATATATTGATAGAGTTTTTTTTTTTATAATTTTTAGCGTTTGAATTTTTCATTTAAGTCGATTAGTTTGCATGTTATGTTAAGTTTTGATTTTTTTTACCTATATATATGTATAAAACGGGTAGACTTGTAATACAGGTAGTTAATTGCAGCGGTTATGATGGCTCGTAAAGACACATATTAGATAAGATAAGATATTTGCTGGTCAATGTTAAATGGATCACTCTGTAGTCCTATAAAAGGTTGAAATAAGTACCCCGTTTAACCCCCTTTTACAAAAAAAATTATAAAAATTATTTAAGTATTAGTGTTAAATATTTTGCAGCTTTTATGTCAATCCAATAAGTATATTTTTGGATAGCTCTTTCCAAAAAGAATGTTCTAGATATTAATTATTTATAACAAAGTGAGGTATCGAAATACTGAATGATTCTTTTACTAGCATTTTTCGTTAGCCTCTCTTAGACACTCGATTTCTCTTAAAATGATAATTATGTTAAGAAAATCTTTATTAGATAGATAGAAATTAATGTTGCTATTGGAATAATCCAATAATTTCTTCTAAAAATTAAACACTATCTATAGATTTGCATCTAAGCTTTTTTTATCACTGTCAGATATCATCTATACTTGTCCTTATTGCGTTAGGTTTGATTTTATAATTTTACTTAATTTTTAATGGTACTTTTATTATATTATGAATATTTTGTACTTTGATATTTTTACCTACATTTTCAGGCACTCCCGTGCTCACTTATTTATATTTGTGGCACTAATAGAGGCGTAGTATAACTTTTTTAGTGTCATGCAGTCAACATTTCTTAAATTATGCTCTGCTTCCTGAAATAAAAAAAGAGTCAAATATAGACTTGATAAAGTAAAAAAGAACTTAACAACTCTAAAATCTATCTATGCATAATTGCATAAGTCCGTCGTCAACCTTAATTAGTATGCATTGTATATATTTAACATTTAGATTAAAAATAAATAACAGTGTATACTTATTACTTGATCTTATTTTTATATTTAATTATTTTAAAACATATAATACTGTATTATTAAAAATTATTATCCCATTTAATTTATTATGTGCTTTTTTTTACTACTACTATTTTACTAAAGTGAAACGTGCTAGTCACACCTGACTTATTCATGCTGATGTGTCATATTTATATTAAATTACTGCCATTTGCGTCCAGCACATTGACTATGTAAACAGAGCAAATTGTTTAGATGTATTATGTCCAAAACATTTCGACAATGAAAACTTTAAAAAGACTGGCTAAATGAACGTGCTGGACATAACGTTTTAGTTATTACTCATAGACTGTAATTATGATATTCCATGTTACAATTACGCTTTACTTAACATTTCAGGTATATAAAAATAGAACAATTTTTATTTTATATTAAATCATTAATTGTTGAAATACAAGTTACTAATTTTAGTTCATTTTTTTTAGATAGTGACTGGAAGTCCAACAGTTAGACACAGTGATGATTTGGAAATCGGGCGCGCATCATCTGTAAATTCAGCTCCCATTAGCAGATCTAGGAATGTAAAAACTAATAAACCAATAACGGCCGAAGAAATTAAACCGTTTAAACTTCTTACAGGAACACCTAAAAAAGTACCGACAAGAGGAGTTACAAAGCCTAAAGTAGCAGGTATTTTAAGTTACAAGCCTATATATAACGGTTAGGTTTTTAGTAATTGTATCAAATAATTCACAAATAGTAGACTAGCACGTTAAGCGATTTCTAAAAGTATGGATGGGTGTTCTTGCGAGGAATATATGTATAGGAGATACAATCGCCAATAAAAAAATTATGAAGAAACATGATTATTTTGGATGGGGTAGTCCAGCATTTTCTCATGCACAAAATCATAATAACAACCATGACTCTAAGTAATAGATTTTAATAAACTAAACTAATGTCTAGATGTCATAGTTTTAAATAATAATATAATTGAAGAGTAACTAAAAATGTTCTATGTATTTAAAAAAATTAACAATATATTATTTTTTTTTTTTAAATGTATTATATAATTAATAACTATAATAACTTTCTAATAACAATTTAAAAAGCTGTATTTTTATCAAATTATGATTTTACGTAAATACACAGGGCAATTGAATTTTGGTAATTTAAAAATACATAATTGAAACTAAGGATACATAGAACATTTATCGAGAATAATAAGGGTGATCAATTAAAGATAAAACATTCAATTTCTCAAAAACTATTGTATATTTTCAATTTTTGTAACGGAAAACATTGTTTGATTCACAATATTCTACAATAAGAGAGAAAACAACTATCATTTTTTATAAAAATGAAGCGGATTGCTCGTTTTACATGTTGTTTATAACACAGTAGAACGTTTAGACAAGAATTATTAAGTACTAAGTAAAATGATTATAGAATAAATTGAAGTAAGTATCAAAATAATAGTAAAATAATTTTTTTTCGTCCCTTCAAAAATAAAAAACCTAAACTTTAATTTTCTTTAATGGAACCCCCATTTTTAGATAGATAACATAACATAAAATTATTTCAAAACATTTTTATTCTTATTAAATTTTATCCAATCAAATATTTGCGTTTTAAATTTGTTTAAAGATTTAGATTTAAAATAGAAGTTCATCATTAATTTGGTTTTCATTATTACCGTATGCAACAATTGTTAGTTTCAATGAGCCATAATTTATCATCAGTAATTATTCTTACTGTCATAATTGACGGGTATGAAAACAAAAAATATCAATAAAAACTCGTTTATGTGACATCATAAATATATGACGACTACTGTATGCTATCAACAAATCATCACTAGACAATTTTTCAAAAAAACTTCAACAAGCAATAAATGAAGAAAAGTTTCATCAAATAATAAATATTTTAAGAATAAAATTAAAAACAAATTTTGTTTTCTATCATTTAATTAAATTTAAAATAGGAGTTTCCATTAAAAAAATTTAAAGTTTAGTTAGTAGGATTAAAAAAAAATTATTTTACTAATAGATACTAATATTAAAATGAATAGTAAATTTTATTAATTAATTTAAAATTTTTAATTTTAGTATCTATTAAATTATGTTAATTTTACTAAAAATAATAATTATTTTACTGTAATTACTACTTATACATATTATTTTCTGAAATAAACAATTTTTGCCTATTTAAACATTTTAATGTTTCCAAGAAAAAAACTTTGTTGTCTCCTTAATTAAACACTTTCGATCGATTAGTTTAATATTTTTACTCTTCAATTATTATAGAGTCGTTTTCTTGTGTTACTTTTAAAAATAGCTATTATTCTTTTTACCCTAGTATACAAAATATTTTAATTTAAAAAAATTTTAAAATTAAAGAGTTATTACTGAAATGTTAACTAAAAATTTTCATTTTTATATAACGCATAGTCTCCTTTATTTCATAAAATGAAAAGACAGGAGTTATATATTATATTTAGTTATACTTTTTTTATAACAATATTGTTAAAGAAAAGATTATTATTAATATATTTCACTTTAAATTTTGATAGCTAACAATTATAATTTCCCTATCAACTCAATGCAACAAGAAGAACCTACTCGTCCACAATATCGTTCCCGTGCTTCAAATGATGAAATTGAAAAATCAGAAAAAGCAAATCAAAATTTAGAGAAAATGATACAGTTTATGACAGTAGTAGGCCACGTAGACCGTTATTTGACATCAAGAGCTAGATCATTAGTTACCACATTAGGAAAAGCAATGGAAGAACATTCAGATGAGCACCGTCATTATGTAAGAGAAAACCGTGCATTGGATGAACGCCCTGAAGAACAATACTATCATCCAAGAGAAGATCATATAAATCGTATGAATACCAAATTTAGTGATTATTAATTTTATATTTTCTAATTTATTTACCATAGTTTGTATAGTAAATGTAATTTTATTTTTTATATAAAAATATTTTTTAATTAACAAAACTTTTTTATAAATAAAATAGAGTATTACTATATTTGTATACTAAAAATAATTTGTATTATAAAATAAAGTACTTCTATAAACAGTACTTTTTTTTTTATTGACCTATTAATGTGAGTCACATTTTGTGACTTGGGTGAGTAATAAACTTATTAGTAATAACTTAAGTATTTACCATTGAGTTTTTTAACTTCTCATAAATATAATAAAATGTAAATTATAAGAAGAATTTTGTAATGTCATAACTTCTTTTTAATATTTATTTTAATTATCTTTAATATTTATTTATAAATTCATAAGGATTTTTGCTCAAGAGGATCTAAGAATCATTTTTTGCTTATTATATACTCCTACTAACATTAAAGTTACAATCTATTATTAGTAATAATTAACTAGAGGAGAGATATAGCCCCTAAAACCACCTTTGGTTATACCTTATAAGACAATGGGTTAATATGGAAATCAGTTTTATTTTTTATAAAACATTTATTTAACTAGATTATTTACTAGATAATGATGTCAATAATTAAGTAACTAAGTGATAACCTTTAGACTAATATTTTGAGTTGTTAAATATTTTAAGTTATGGCTGGAGGTGAAGTGTTTTTGTTGTTATTCTTGTCATTAAACATTTTCACTCTATTTTTCAGTATTCACTCTGTATATGTTAATTTATACTGTTTGCATAATTACTGTGGTGCGACCACAAAGTTTCTATAGAAACATTTGTAACTCCTCTAAATAAACTGTGTTTCTTTGGAGAAGAGGAAACAAAACAACAATGTGTTGGAGAGGCTCTCCGTGTCCACTATTCAAATTTATAGAATAGATGGGATTTTAGACCCAAATACAAGTTTTAAACCTACACAAATAATAATATTAAATTTATAGTGCACATATATTCCTCTTTTTCAATGGTAAAAGAAACAAATAAAATTAAGAATCAATCTTGTAGATCTAATTTCTTTAATTTATTTACTGAATAAATACAAATAATTTTATTTAAAGGAGTTCAAATTTTTTCATTAGTATCTTTTATTTTAAGCACAACTAAAAATAAAAATATACATTGAATGTCTAAGAATAAGTCTTAAAGTGAGGAATTATCTATCATAAAACAAAACTAAGATATATCACTATATATAACTAATATTTGTAATATATTTTCAGTCATGTTACTTTTATTTAAAAGTTCTATAAAAGTTTTTGATGCTATAGTTTACAAAAATTACAAGTCTTACGACAAAAGATTAAAAAGTAATTCAACAATTGTAAAATACAATTTTTTACTTCAATGAATTGATGAAATATCAATAACAAAGTAACATAAGTTATATTTTACTATATATAATATCTTAATCTAGATTATATATGAATTCATTTAACAGAAATACCGATGATAAATTCTTAATTTCTAGCACTTTCAGTAGCTAGTTCAGTTTGAGATTCGGTTTTCTGTCTATTCCTCCAAGCAGTCATATATGTACGAGGATGTATAGGGAGAAATCCTGCCAAACCTATAAAAAATTTAAATAAATTCATTAATAATTATCATGAATCTAGTTATGAATTGTACCAATAAAGAATGAATTCAAAATTAGATGTTTTCTGTACATTTGAAAAAGTAATTTAGGAGAAATTTTTTAGAAAAATTACTACATTTTATTATTGAAATTTATTATGCTGAAAAAATTGAGTTTTCATTCTAATCAATATAACTTTTGTTACATTTTATAAATTATATGAATTGATTATAGTTTTATGCCATTTAGAACAATATAATGCACATTTATAAAATTAACTTTAAATAATGTATCACAGCTTGTCAATATTATCACAATACAAAGTAATTTTGCAATACAAAACAATTTTTAGCTTAAGAGTTTAACATTTTAATAATTTAACATTTTTTCTTCCTTTAATATTTCTTCGATTAGAGGCGAATATAGACTCCTCAAAGAAGAGTTTCTTTACCTTACTTACTCTAGCAAGAGATTATGATAAAAGCCTAGCATATAATTAATAAATAATAAAAACATAAAATTGTATTAACAAACTAAATTCAATATAAAAATAGGACGTCTAGAAAATAAGGTTTTGGACTTATGTATCACAGAATAATTTTTGTTAAATTAGTTTGTATACTTATCATTTAGATCATTTTCAGTACAAAATGAATGGTTTGATATATTTATTGGATGGAAAATGTTCCAGTAACCTCTGATTATTCAGTGTTACAACCTTTTTCATGTACTATTATATTTATGACATCCTTTCACTTACAGACTATTAACTGTTAATGTTTCTTCAACAATAATAACACTTGAAACATTTTGATGAATGTTTTAAATAAAAGTAGAGTCACATAATGATTGATTAAAAATACATATATTTTATTAATTACTTTATTTTTTATCATTTTATTTATCTAAATTTAGGTTCAACACCACTAGGGAGGGTTTAGACTAGGAAGCTGAAAATGAATACAGTACTACAAATCTTTAAAATGCTTATTTATCTACTACAGTTCAAACCATTTAAAAAATAATAATAAAAAATACCTAATAACTGTGCAACTGGATCAGTTAAACGTGCTTTTTTTGCCATCCAGTATTTTATCCGTTCTAAATTAAAACTGACTAATTTTTCACCATTATGATTTTCGAGAGGATCAAATGTACCAAGTTGTTCAATAGGATGAGACTTACAATCTCTTCGTTGCTAAATAAAATTAATATATATATGTTATACAATTCATAAATTTTTGTTTAAATAAAAAATAATTTTACTTACAAGGACAACTATAATATGATAAAAAGGTCTATTAGCACATCCATGTCTAATTAAACGTATCGATTTTTTAGCTTTTTCATAATCATCTCCACCACCACTAGAAGGCAATAATTTTTTTATGATACGATAAGCTCTCATGCTTGCACTAAAATTTATATATTAATTATTCTCAAGCAATATTAAATACAATTTTAAATTAATTATATTACATAGATAATCATGTTTTATATTTAACACTAATGTCAAACAATAAATACAAGACTCAATATATTAATACATACAGAGTGATTCATTAAACACTAGCTACACAATTTATCTTAAAATAACATTTTTTTGTAAATTTTCTTTTTTATCTTTCGTTAGTTATGTATTTCCATTTATCTTTTATAAAATATTTTTTATGTTCATCTCTTATGTTTTATGAGGATATTTTATTATTTATTTTTAATTTTAGAATATATATTTAACTAGCTAATAAAACCTTTTGGATCAGTATTTCATAAATTATTAACATTTTAATACCCAGTCATTTAAATTTGATAATTTACTATTTTAAAAGCTAGTTGAATATGTATCTTACCATTTTAAAAAAACTAGCACCTCTGTAAGTTATAAGGGATGAAAATGTAATTAATAACTAATAGAACCAAAAAATATATATCACTAAAAAATACCAAAAATAATTTTCTTAACATAATTATTTTAAGAGAAATATAATGATTAACGTTAAAATAATCACTCAGTATGTCTTAATATATATATATATATATACTTTTTTTTTGAAAAGTTGAGAACTCAAATAAATAAAAGGTAATTTTTTATTTTAAATAATATTTTAATCAAAAATTATCAGTGGACATTTTTTATTTTAAAATTATTATTGCAAGTAAAATTTTCAATTAGCTATTATTTACATGATGGCAACAATAAATATTTTATATTAAAATATATCTAAATAGATACTCAGAAATTAAAAATTCCTTAATCACACATAATCAAATAAACAACTAATAAGTCAGTTAAAACAATTGTAAAATTACTGTACTCGAAACAATATATTAATGTGATGGATACAAGCTTTAAAATTTAAAAATTAACCTAAAATTATTTAATACTAATACAAAATAGTACAGTAGCAAGTGTCTTAGCAATCGTAATTAGTTTTCATTTATTTTATTGATAATACCCACTGCAATTAGGGTCATTAGTTAATTTTTCGTTTATTATATTTCAAATAATGTAAGAAGTTAATATTCAAGATTGTAATTCCTTTAATTTTACTAAAATATCAACTTCTAACTTCAATACGAAGTTGAAAATTTTGAATTATCATAACTAATGAAAATTTTTATTTACAATAGTTTAAATACTTACTTAATTAAATATTAAAATACTATTAAAAACGAAAATGTTATAAATAATAGAATTGAATTATTCTTGAAAAACTCAGGAAACGTAAGGTCGAACTGTTAACGAGCGTATCAGTAGTGATGAGCATTATTGAATTATGACTATCAAACTAATTGATAGTATTAAAAGTTTATTTCTAATCGATAGTTTAATTCATAAAATGAATAATCTCTAATATTTTAGATAATTTTTGAAACAATACGTAGTATATAGCACGACAAAAGATATATTTTATATTATATACTACGCAAAAAAAAATGTTTTATTGTATAATTTAAAAGAAAGACTAGTCAACATTTGTATCATTGGCAAATTAGAAAATTATATTATTATTTTTTGTGTGAATTAATTTAAATTCTTTAAACATTCCAACCTCTATCCTATAGTGGTCAATTCTATAAATAATTTTTGCATGCAAAATTTTGTTATTTATTAAAATTTCTAAGAATTAGATTCAAAACAGTCTTGTACAACCCTCGGGCTATCATATTATTTTTTAAGCCAGAGTGCAGAATGCTTGTGTGGAGGCCAGAGAGATACGTATGTTCGTCTTTATTTAATAAAATTAAGTTGTTTAAAAGTGATTGTTTGATATTTGTTAATTTATATTAGAATAGAAGTGTAATTTCTAACACAATTTATTATTCGATTCGAATTAGTTAATAGTTAACTAATTATTAACATAATAATCGAATAGCTATCGATAGTTTAAATTATGCGATAGTGCCCGTCACTAATATATTTGTAGTCTCTTTATAATCGATATATATTTTATCAGTTATTTGTAATAACACCGATAATACATTGATAACCGGTATAAATAAACAAACTCAGACGATTTGACAAATTATTGAATCATCTAGTTTTTAATTTTTTTTTGTCAGAATTAAGGCTATAAAGTGAACTTTATCAATAAAATGGATCCTAAAGTAAAACTTAAATTTATTTAAATTGTTGTCCTTTACATATTTTACAAACCTAATTTTATAAGTTTCAGGATGTACCTGTCCCAGCTATAGATAGTTTATCAGCAGCTCTTAAAATTAATATTGTACCAAATCAAGAATATCTTTTACAAGGTAGTGTTTTAGATTCTGCTGTTGAAGTTCTTCTGCATAGATTACGAGGACTGTGTGATAATGTTGATTCAGGACCAGAAACATTTCATGATCATGAAATGTGTTTTAGTATAAGTAAAACATTTTAATATACATGTTCTTATGTCTTAATTCTATAATTTCATACAACTTTTAGGGAGTGCTACTCCACAACCTTTAACATTAAGAGTAAGACGAGCAATAGATTATTTAGATATGCCTTACCAATTGCGTTACATTGGACAGCCCGAACTAGGTTAGTAAAAGTTAAATAAAAATACTATTACACTAATTAGCAAAATTCTTATGTAGAAAGAAAAGTCACTTGATTTTCATAAAAATTTATGTTCAATTAAACAGATAAATTTGTTTATTTGTTAAATTTTTTACTTATCAAATAAATCTTATTTTTGAAATAAGATTATTAAATAAGTACATATATAAATAAAATCAAGATTTTAAATAATATCATATTAAAGTTTTTGACGATTTTTTATAGAACTTATCGGTGTCATTTAAAAATTTTAAGTTTCCTTAATAACTTAATTAAGAGTTAATGAAAAGAAAATATGATAACAACCTTTATTAGATTATTTAAAATCCATAAAACATAATTGCTGAAAACTAGTTATTATACCAATGACTAGTACCATTATCCCCAATCATTTTATTTGAAAATTACTCCTTTTCAGCATGAAAATTTAAGTTTAGTAGTCATTTTTATTTATTATTAAAATATTGTGAAAAAAAAATGCTAATTTTTTCATATGAAAAAGAAATTCTAACAGTTACAAATATGACCCTTTAAAGAGTTCTGTTTCATAAAATGGAGTATAAGTTTCTTATATACTTTGCTCCTATATATATTTCAAATTTTGAAGAATTACTATAATAGTTAAATCTATATTAATAATAATGAATGAATATTTGCTATATTTCTTTTTTTTTTAATTTTACAATATTAATTTGTGCTTGTAATAGATTAATAAATAATGTACAGGAAGAAAAAGATATTTTTTGAGACAGCTTATACTCAAAAGTTGAATTTTAGTAAAATGTGATATTAGGGATATTACAGTTCATTTGGGATATTACAGTGTTTATTATTGTAACTAAAATTTTATTGATATTTTATTAATAAAACCATAAAAAAAATTATTTACTCATAGGAGACAAATCACGCCCAACTATTTTAAGAAACAGTATTGATATTGCTACAACACCTACAATTGTTGATTTCCTTACTGAAATGGGATTCCGAATGGATTTTGAGTACATTTTACGTGGTTATATGTTTCGTAAAGGTCGAATGAAGATAACTGTATCCAAAATATTTAAGGTATGAAATTTAATAATAGTTCAAATGACTTGAAAATATTCTAAATCATTGTTTTTAGATGATGGTTGTGGGTAAACCAGCACCAGAAAGTGTAGACCCTATTTCACAGTCATATCTTGTAGAACTTAGTGTATTGGCACCAAGTAATCAAGACGCTATTGCTGAAGATATGCGAATTTTCGCAGAGCAGTTAAAGCCATTAGTACATTTGGAAAAAGTTGATTATAAAAGACTTACTCAACCACCTACATAATTATAATTGAGTTGCAAAATTTTAGTTGTAAACTTTTGAACTATAATTGTAAATTTTAATTAATTAATATGAAAAATATAATGAAGCGATTTATGTAATTAGATTATAAAAAAATATATGTATTTTTAAAAATCAATTGAAATTTTTTATTTAGTGAATAATTGCTAATTGTGTCTCATGCAATGACTATATAATTATAAAAAATTGATATTATTTTTAGAAGTATCCTAAATTCTATAATTTATTAAAAGTCAATAATAACTTTAAAACAATTATTTAAAAGATGTTAACATCTTTTAAAGCTGAAAATGAAACATAGGTCTGTGTTCATGTATCAGTGTACAAAATGTATATGTAAATAATTTTTGTTATCGTCAATCTATTCTCTCACGTATCTCATTGTACAGTCTTCCCTTACTTTCCCATGTGTTTTTCTGTTTATCGCTTTATTGACAACTATTGCCTTTCTAATCTAATATATGTATAAAAAATTGTTTTTTATTGCTATTAATTCGTTGATATTCTGTAACTGAAGCTATCTGATTATTTTTTTTTGTATGCTAAATAAATTTACATTTATTTTATTTTCTTAGTTGTTAATGCAATTTAGTTATTGTAATAATATCAATTTTTAATCAAAATATTAAATTTTTTTTTGTGGACAGAAAGGTATCGATTTTTTGATGGAATAACAACCTTCATCCCACAGCTAATTAACCACATTAGTACAACATCAATATTGATTTGTCAAATTAATGAAAAATAAAGTTAAAGTATAAACAGGTCTGTTTATTTTTATTTCTAGAAATTATTGAACCACCCTACTTTTATTGGTGTGGTAAAAAAATACTATTAAATTATAAAAAAATAAATCGAAAACTGTTATTGATAAAATATTAAATACATAAGACATAAATTTTCAGACTAGAAAAGTTAAAAAGTTATATTTTTGAAAGCAAAACATGATTTTATAACAGAAAATTGTAAAAAACAGACTGACATCGATATTTAAGATTACAGTGATAAAGAATAAATATATTTTACCTATTGTTAATTTTTTTACCAAAAATGTCATCACCTAATAGTGTAGAATTCTAGTTCATTATTATGTGTAAATAAAAATGAAGGAAAAAGATACAATTTTTAAAATTACATTAACATAAATATTGAAAAAAATATATTTTATTTGAAAAAAAAACACTTAATTAAGTATAATAAAACCAGTTTTAACTATTAAAAATTATTCTAAGTTATATAAAAGTTAAAGTAATAAAAAATAAGTTTATTAAAACTATCACATTTTCAATTGGTGAAAAGGTAATTATGGTTTCACGTTTTCTTTTCCTTTATAAACAAAACGTTTGTATACCGGAAATACCTTTAAAAAAATTATTAAAAATAAATTTAAGTTATCATAATATTAATACTTGACTATAATAAGGAAAGTTCAGAAAAACTTTTTAAGATCTACTAAGTGTAAAAAAAAGTTAATTATTTTTGTATCCAAAAGATATAAAATGAAGATAATCTTTATTTAAGTTACGATCTACAAATATTTGGTCATATATAAACCTATTATTACATAATACTTTATTAAATTATATACATTAATAATACTTACTTTAGATTTACCAAAATTTGCTGTTTTTTTAAGATCAGAATCATTTTGCTTAGAATTTTTCAACAAAGTTTTAGTAATCTAAAAATAAAATAAATTTAATATAACATATAATTTTTTAAAGTAAGATAAAAAACTTACATTTTTTAATTGAGTATTATTTGGAGTGCTCATTCTAATTATTTGTTTTCCTAGGGGAGTCTACATATGAAAATAATTATTACTATATAAAATATTACATTGAAACAATAATTTTGTATGAAATTAATAACTTACAGTCCTTGCATCCTTTTCTTTTATATTTAATGATGTGTTTGGACTTGGCAGAGATTTACGTAAACTTCTATATATGTAAATATAAATATACTAGTAGTAAATTAATAATTTTTAAAATAAATTGTTTAATTACAAAAAGTTAAATAATTTTGTTTCATTTGCAACTTGTTAATAATAATATTGAGTAATTTTTATTATTTTTGGACATAAAAATATTATAAAAGTGAAAAATGTTGATATTATTTTAAAAGACCTACACTCAAAAATTGTTTACAAAGTGTCCATTTTACTTAAATATTTAGTATTTAATTTCATTAAAATAATGTAAACATATTGCTAAAAACATTCATATTAAGGCAGTTTAAAATCTGTATATTTTTTATAGAAAAAATTTTCTTTAAATTATACTAACAAAATTAAAGACATTTAAACAAACTAAAATTTACAAAAATCTAAATGGAAATTATAAATCAAAATTTATACATTATGAAATTTTACCAACAATTCAATTGTCAGTAAATTGGACTATAGGAGTCTTTGAATTGTAATTGATGCAAAAAAAACTTATTAAATACTATTATCCTTTTTTAATAATAAATTGATTTATAGTAATTATTACAAATCTATTTTTAATAAGACTTTCAATATATTAAAATTTTGATGTATTACAAATTAAAAAAAAATGTAGCAAATTAAATAATAATTAAAATATTTTTAACATAAATAAAATTTAGTTATAATTTTTGATAAATACATAATTTTCAAATAAACTTACTTGATCTTCACAAATGTATTATTTGATGAATCTTTAGATATAGTACCAGCAATTGTGGGTGTCGACGAAGCAACTGGTTTTATCTATAATAAATATCAAATAAATATTACATATAATAACACCAAATATAGTATCAATAATCATACTTGAACAGGTGGACTAACAAATGAAGTATTTTCTTTATCACTATTACTTAAAGACATATTCTGAATCATGTCCTTAACTGGTATATGAGCAACAAGAGGTCCTTTGATATTAATTTTATTAGGTTTTAACGACTTTACAATTGTTCGACTACCAGTTAATTTAGTATTAACTATTCCTAAAGTATTAAAAAAACAAATGTTACTTAATACTTTTTTCTGGTACTAATATCTTCATAAATAATTATTCTTATGATTAGCTATTTTTAAATGATTATTAAATATAAAATGTCTTAACTTTTTAAGTTAAAGCATATTAAATTTAACCTTAGTTAAATTCTACCAGGGATTTTAATCCATATTATTGTTAAAATTGATGTTAATTTAGTACAACTCAATTGAAAACCGATATTATCAATAAATACATATTTATTAATGTAATATTACCTATATGATCAAGTGCTTTTATTTTTGTGTCAATACAATCATTAATTTTATGTTTGTCAAACAGAACGGTATCCTTGAAAATAAACAAATAAATAAAATTTAGACTGCAAAAATATATGAACAATTAGTTTTACTTTTTGAATATCATGTGATCCAAGAGATGCATCATTATCACTAAAATTATCAATTATCCACTCTGGTTTAAGAGAGTTTAGATCGAATGAATTATATACATGATCACCTAAGGTTAAACCTGATGTACTATTATCATTGATATCCAACATTTCCTTTCGAAAAAAATTATAATTATTAATTATTTTTACTTTTTAAATAACATTTATTAGTTAAACTTACATTTAAATTTTTATACGAAATAGAAACTGAAAAGTTTGTAGAGCTCCCCTCTAATGAGTTTTGTCGAAATGCTTTATTTAAAAAACTATCAGTTATATTTAAACTTGTATCAGATTTTTTTTTATTTTGGGGAGTGTACATAAAAGAGTTGTGTTCATGTTTTTCTCTAGATAATTTTTTACTGTTTTCTATAAGCATTTTTATTCTTTGTTGTGTTTTTTCTTTGAGCAATTTTATCTCTTCTTCATTGTTTGGAATTCCTAATTGATTAAGATCATTACAACTTGATGATAGACAGTTTTCTTTGTCTATTTCTTTTGTTTCATTATCATTTTCAAATTTAAATGTTTGTTTTTCATTAATATCTATATTATTATGTTCTATATCATCAATTCCAGTCATAGACACACTTTTTTTAATATGTCTTACTTGAGGTTCCCACATTGGACTTAAAATATTTCCACATGGTGGTTCTATTCTTGTAGACAAATTATCAGAAACTATATCAAAAGGATCCATTAAAGCTGCCTTCATTTCCATAATATCAAATGGATTGTTATTAAAGCTTTGTTCCTCAACATTTTTGTTTTTATTTGTCTCTGGAGTACTCCAATCAATAAGAGACTCAATTGCTTCAGATCGAAAAGAATTCATGTCTCTAAAAACAATGAAAATTATCATATACTTTGTTATAAATTCTATAAAATATTTTTACATCTATATAGTTATTTATTATAATAAAATAGGTTCAGTAATTAACTAATAATAATACTTCTATTTGGCTGTTAAAAAACTATTTCTTCAAAAAACATTGTCAAGACATCACTTATTAACATTGATTTAAGAATATTTTTCATTTTATTTGAAAGTTATAAAAGATATTATTTTTAACTTAAACATTTTTTAAGTTTTTTAAAAACAATTATACAGCTGTCTCAGATCTATGTGACAACACTTATAATTTTTGATAAAATTAACATTTTAATAAAATTTTTTAAATAATAATTATTGTCATCTTAGATTATGTTTTAAGTATATTTTTTACTATTATGACTAATAAAAAAAATTTTTTTAATGGATTGATGATAATTTAAAAATAAGTACTTATTAAGTTTTAAGTATTTTTATACATAGAGTGGATAGAAAATTTTAGTTAAATAATAAAACCTTGTTTTAATATATACCTGTGATTATAAGAGGTATAATATAAGAATATATGAAAATTATATCAAATTGAATTTAATAATTGTTATTACAATTTAAAAAAAATTTCTAATATTAAATGTCAGTAATATTACTTTTAAAAACAAATATAGAATAAAAAAAATTAGTAATTATGAAAAGATTGTAAATGATCAATGTAATGTGTGTACTACCTTTAATTTAACTCCGGTAAGATTAATGTTCTGTATTAAATGCGTAATATTTCTAAGATTACTTAAATTAATGTTCCAAATTATTTTAGTTACGAAAACTAAATAACATACATAAGGAATATCAGTAAACATGTATTATTGAAGTTTCAAATGTTTGTGTGTAGTTAGTTATTTTAAAGTTCGAATTAACGAAATAACGTATTTACCTAGCTCGTTCATATACCATTATCACATTAATATAGTTTAACGTTTTCAATGATAAAAAAACACGAGTAAGCATAATGATAAAAACTTTTTATCGTTATTTTTATTCGTGTATATTTCCATTGTGAAATTCTTACTGTTTTGGTTAACTTCTAAAATTATTCGGGAATGAAAAGGTCGTAATATTATATACATTTTAACACTATGTGTATTTATACTTTTAAATAAGATATCAACTCTTACGAAACTGAATACTTGTTTGAGTATAAAAGTAGTTAACACCTATACAATATTTATGTAATTAAACTTCCAGAAACATAGTTTACAAAACAAAGATTTTGAGGCTTTCTTTAAATTCTATGAGATTTTTAGCAATTTTAAGAATAACACCTAGTATAGGTAAAACTGAACCTTGTTTTTTGCTCATTTATTATGAAATAGTTTAGTAGATTATTAAAGAGAGTTGACATATGTAAATTAAATTCTTTATCAATAAATTTAATCGTATATTTAAACGAAAAAATATGTTTAAAATACTATTATTTATCAATTTGTTAATAATTAATTTTTCATAAACGTCAATAAAATCCTTCTTGTGCTGATAACTGCAGAAGTTATCAAATCATATTTGCATTCAAATTTAATTATTTGTGTGGGTTGAGTGAAAATAATTTATTATTTACTATTAACAAATACTCTAACTTAGTAATTAGTAGTTTATTAAAATTAATGTTAAAAAAAATAAATAAAAATGTTATTCCATTTTAGCTATGAATAAAGAGTATGCAAGTATTCACTCTGCAAGCATTGAACAGATACACGAAATGCCTATAAATGAAATAATTCGACCTTTGCCACCACAAGTCGATGATGATAAAGTCAGAAGTTTAATGAATTCCTTAGTTGTAAGTTTGCATCAGCTTATAAATGATTTACTTACATATTAATATTTTACAATGTTTTATGCTGGGGTAGCACTTAACTCACATTTATAATTGAATCAACAGAAAAAATTATAAAAAAAAAAAAAAATTATTATAATTTAAATTTTTTTGCTCTACTATCAAGTTATTAATAAAGATAAGATAGGTGATTTTGGTTTTTAACAATGATGCACAATCCTAAGTTAAAATAAAATTCTTTAGTATTACTCCTGAAATTAGAAATAATGAAAAATTGAGTTTTTAAGTAATTAAAACAATAAAAATATTATTTATTTTAGTATATTATGTTATTAGGATCCTAATCTTAAAGACAGTGTTCCACCAATAGATGTAATGTGGATTGTGGGAAAAGAAGGAGGCAACTATTACTATTCATTTGGAGGATGTCACAGATATGCTGCTCATAAATGTTTAAATTTGGATACCATTAGAGTTAAATTAGTAAAATCAAATATCAATGATTTACATAATTATTTAGGAGCATCAACCCCCAACCTTAAATAACTAACTAAAAAAATGAAAAATTTTTCTTTTTTTTTTTTATTTTATTTTGGAAAATTACAGATAGATAGGATTCTATACAGTATAATAAATGTAAAGTTTTAGATAACATAAAAAAAGATAATATATGTTGTGTTATAAGCATTACAATGTGTTTAATTGAGACCAAAAACATTGTTTATAAATTACTTTTGTTAACGTTTCATGGGTTATACCAAAGTGGATCTTGCTGCAAATAAAAAAGAATTAAAAGTCAATAGTTAATAAATAAACAAAAAAAAATTTTTTAATGTTACCTCTTGGGTTTTAGCTTTAACTTTTCTTTCAATAAGTTGCTGTAATGCTTCAGATCTCACAGATAAGGTATCTACTTTCTCTAATAATTGTTGATATGGAGATAACGGTTGAGTACCCATGACTACATGACCCAATTTTGAATCAATCTTAGCATCTAATCTGGCATTCCTAATCAAATTTACAATCCAACATTCAGCTTCTTCAGGATTCATATTGAGTTTTTCAGCTAACATACTAAAATAAAATAACCTTTAATTATCAATAACTTCAAAATTAAAATTTAATTTATTTTTAATTAAATATGTGTTTAAAATAATTTGTTGTCTCATTCACCCTATGCTAATACATTGATGTATGCGACAAAATGTTTCAAAAATCATTAAGCGAGCATTTTCTACAAAGTCATCCAAACAAGCAGTTAAAAAGAAATCATTAAATAGAACAATTTGACATTCATGTAATTTATCTCTAGCGCCTTCAAAATCAAAGTTAACATATAAATTTTCTAAAAGTTCAGTTATTGGATCTCTGTATGTATATGATTCCTAGAAGAAAGATGTATCAAAATGTATAATAATAGTATTTACAGATAATTTAACTATTCAAACCTGCTGAATAACTTTAACAAGGTCTTTCATAGCTGCACGCCTTGAACGGTTAATAATAACAGCGGTTGCTAAATAACGCAATATATGTGGACACATGGTTTGAATGGCGTTAAGATAGCTTTAATAAGACATAATATAATATTAAAAATGAAACTGTGACACTTTGTTTTTAATGTTAGTATAGTTACTTTGGTCGGTATAAAAACATGTCAATTATAAGGTCACGACCCTTTACATGATTAAAAAATACAAAAAGGCCCCAATGGATGAGCCATGTGCGTTGTTGAAGTAAATGTAAAGGGGAACCATTTGTGTTTGAATCAATATATTCCCGAAGTTTATTTAAGTCTTCAAGAGCAGTATCCCAATTTTGAATAAGAATCTCTGACGCCAACTTTCCCCAAAGTACATTCAAATAATTCTAAAATACAAGTTAATAATAAAAACGTTAATGAATAAAAATTAAAAACAAGATAAACTTACTTTATCAGTAGGAGACATGACCAATAAATAAAAATACAAGTAACTTGTAGTACCAGCATAATTTCCACAATCATAATGGTACTTGGCAAACTTGTACATACTCTCCATCATTTCTACCTTAAACTATTATTTTCATATATATGAGAAACAAAAGTAACAAAGAACTAGTTTGGTTTTTTGCCTGGAAAGTTAACGATAACCAATTTTTTGTGCAAGGCAAATAATAGAAAAGTATAGGGAAAAGAAAAAAATCTGTGTATATTTATAGATTTGGAGGAAAGGTATGATAAAGTTTTAAAGTGGACACTAATGGGAAAAATTCCCAAAAAGGTATATTAATATAATAAAGGATATGTCTGATAGCACTGGTATCAGGGTAAAAAGTGTGGACAGAGTAACAGAATATTTTAGGGTAAGAGTAGGAGTGGACCAAGGTTTTGCTTTAAGCCCTTATTTATTTTCTATAGTGATGGATGAAATTACTAAAGAAATACAATGAGAGGTACTGTGGTGCATGTTGTTTACTGATATTATAATGTTAATAGGAAAAAATTAAAGGTTGAAAGTGTGGAGATCAGCTTTTGAAGGAAAGATATTAGAAATAAGTAGAAGTAGAAGAGAGTATATAGAGAATGTGTTTGACAAAGGAGAACATGAGTTAGGTGAAATGAGATTAGTGACTATATGCAAGGATTTAATAGGAGAAATGGAAAGTTTTAAGTATTTAGGAGATCAGTTGTGCAAAAGAACAACGGCATTGGACGATGATGCAAAATACAGAATGAAGTGCAGGTGGGTGAAGTGGAGAGAGCAGCGTTTGATGTGTTATATGATAAGAGAATTCCAATGAGGCTGATAGGCAAGTTCTATAAGACTAGTGAACTATGATGTTTGGTTCAGAGTGTTGGGCAATTGACAAGAGGATAGAGCAGAAAATGTGAGAATGCTTAGATGTATGAGTGGAGTGACTATAGATAGGATTAGGAACAAATACATAAGAGTGAGTATAGGTATAGTGTCAATCATGGATATGATGAGAAAAAATAGATTTGGATATTTTGAACATGTTATGAGGAGAGAGGAAAGGAAAGCTGTGAAAATAGTTATAGAAATAAATGTTGAAGAAAGAGGTAGAGGAAAACCAAAAAATGAAGAATGCTAATAAATGTGATAAGAGGACTGCTGATGTTTGTGTAAATAATGTGGAAGATTGTATCAAGTAAAAGTTTAGAATAAGGTGGCCGATCCCAAGTAGTTAGGATAAAAGCGAGGAAAAAGAAAAAGAAGAATATAGCTAGTTTTGATAATAGACTATTTAAATAATTTAAGTTGTTTTAATTTAATCATAAAAAAATAAACCTGAAATATGAAATACTTACATTAAACTCTTTAGTTAAGTAATTTGATAATGTTTTAGGATCCCGCATAGTTTCCATAGTTTTCATAACTTTATCATCACCAAGAAAATTCATAACCACATTAACTTCACTCTGTAATTGATGAAGTTGTGAAACTATTTGATCTCTTCTCAATTTCATTTCCTATAATAAAATATAAAAGCAATTAAAATAAAATACTCAAAAAATTTAACTTAAATTTTCACCTCTGGAACTTCTTTGTCTGGATTTAACTGTTTGTATATTTCAATTACATAATCCATCATGTTAGTCTTATTAAGTATGTCTAATTTTGCTGATAATATTTCATTTTCATTATAGATCTGGAAAACACAAAAAAAATTATAATTAGTATTTATAATTTAGAATGAGTATTGATGTATATATTAAATACAAAAATATTCTTTCTAGTGATCAATTATTTAATAATACAAAATTATTTTAAATATTACCAACAAATTTCTAAGCAAAATAATAAAATAATTAAAAAGGTAATAAACTTTAAGTACTCAGAAATAAATGACTTTGTAAAAACAAAAATTCTAAATGAAAAGGGAACATTAAAAAAAAAAGAAATATTTTGACTATAACACAGGCTTTTAATGAGCTAGGATGAAGGAAAACATTTACATATCAAAAATCTTACAATTAATATCTAAAAGAACATTTTAGAAAAAAGTTTAACACAATGTTAAATATATAAGAGAGCAACATTATTAAGTTCAAAAAAATGTTTAAATATTAGAATAAAATAGAATAAATTTTGAAAAAAGTAAACCAGCAAATAATTTAATAATATAAATATTAATATATTTATTAAATATAAATGGACAACATTTTTAAACATTATATTTTTAATAACATGAGATTTATAAATAATCTATTAAATGAGTACTACATTTAAACTTAATCAGAACTTTAAATACAAGTATCTCACTTTTTTTGCCCACAGAAATTCCAATAGAGGGGCAACTAAATGCCGGTCTAAGTACTTTGTCATCTTACTTGTCAAATCAAATTTGGCCATTTTTTTTTATTAAGTTATAAATTTTACAGTAGATAAAAAATTGAACACAAAAACTTAGCCTGTCGGCATGTGAATGAGAAAACTATTTCAGTAAGCAAAGCCGTAACTTAATAATTACAAAAAGTTATTTACATTATCTAGCTTGAGTGGCATTACGATATTTTAGGTTATGTGTTTAAATCATGATTATAGATCATGGAATAATATAGAGAGACCGTTGCCTATATCAGCCTGTACATTGCAGTGCTTCACTGAGTTTTATATTAGGCAGTGTGACCACAAGTGTATTTAATATACTCGTTCCAAAATAATTATTATATGTGATGTACAGTTAGTGAGGTTGGGTTGGGTTTTTACTTTGATCATACATCTAATGTTATTAACGTTCAAAACAACTTGGACTTTTCAATCTTAAGTAAAATCTGCTAAATATTATAAGAGAAATAATATAGTTACAACTATCCCATTCGTGTACATTTACTTTATACAATACCCTAAATAATATAGAAATGATTATTTATTAACAATAATTTTATATACGAGTATATCATTTAATTTGTAACACTAAATAAAATGTACTTTATTAATACATTGCCAAATATTATTTTGATATGTATTAATTATAACTTTTAATGTTAGAAATAAAATGTTCAATCATTAAATTTTCTTTGAAATATCCCTTAATTCAACAATTGAAACAAATTTTTTCAGTGGAAAATTTTCCTTAAATATATTTTCGTAAACGGCATTTTTAATGTGTTAACTCTTAAAAGTCTTTTAATTTAGATGTTAAAATTATATTTTAATGATGTTTTCTGATTTATAAATATTAACCTTGTATTAAGTTGTTATTACTGTAATCTTAAAAGGAGACACGACCACGAAATAAGTGATCAGTACTCATAGTGAACGTTACATTGTAGTATTTACTTTGACTCTTCCTATTGGTACTCTTCCAAGTGGCTGGAAACGGGCGTAGAATACCCTGCTTCACCATAGAAATTGGCATCCCTGGTCAACCAACTGAAATTTTGCAGAAATTGTCAAGCAACTTTGCAACAACTCAACCTTGTTCAACATCAACGACAATCAAAGGAAATGTGAAATATTTGTTCTTTTGGGCAATTTTTTGTTAAAATTTAAATATTGTATTTAGTTTAAGTTATTTTTAAGTAGGAATTTAACCTCCTTTATTTTTCTTTTAAAACCATTAATATAAATTATTAAAATCTTAAATAAATATGTTTTTTGGTTTTTAACAAAAAATATGACTACACAAAAGTTTTTAATTTTCGAATTAACTCAACTAGTAGGCGAACCTTTTAAAGGCCATTCTAATAAATTAAACCAATTTTTAAGCGCTGTAGACGATATTTTTTTAATTGTAACCAAAGAGCAACACAAGCAACTTTTTTTGGCTATTAAACTAAAAATAAAAGGGAAAGCAAAAGAGATTGTTAATTCTATAGAATTAAAAGACTGGTCAGAGCTTAGGGCATTGCTTATAGAATACTTTGGGGAGGAAATTCGTCCAGATCAATTGTCTGTAGAACTACAAACAATTAGGCAAAACAAAAATGTAACAATTAGTGAATTTGGTGATAGAATGGAAAAATTAGAATTTAAATTATATCATGCTTATACAAATAAATTAAAATATGAAATACAAATAGAAGCTATAAGAAATATGTGTGAGGATCAAGCATTAGGGGCATTCAAAAGAGGCCTATACAATAATCAAATTAAAATTATAATATTATCTAATAACCCTAAAAATATTAATGAAGCAATCGCTATTGCTAAACTAGAAAAGATTCGTATTAATACAGAAAATAATCTCTTTAACGCCATATCTATATGGTATTAAGTTTAAAATTCAGACAGACCACAAATGTTTACTTTGGCTTTTTAACTTAAAAGATCCCAATTCAAGGCTTATGAAATGGAGATTGAAATTATTAGATTTTAATTTTGAAATTATGTATAAAAAAGGAGCTAATAATACAAACGCTGATGCACTTTCTAGACCAGTAGAAAATTTAAATGAACTAATTCATAATAGTAATAAAAACGAACCTAATAATGACATATTTAAAATTAATAGTTACAATAATTTTATAGATGTTCAAAATAAACAACTAATATTAATTAAAAATATCATAGATTCTAATGACACAACTAAAACTACTAAAATTAAGAACATAGTATTATTTTGTCCTGTAAATATTGATCATAGATTTGAATTTAAAAATATTATTAATCCTCAAATAAAAGTTAATCAAAATGATATCAGTTTAGAAAATAATTATGTACTCGTTTATCATAAATTAAACTTTTTTGATTCTTACGATTTCCCAAAACTATTTTTAAACGTGGAAACTCTAAAAGAATTATTATTAAGTAAAAATATTAAACATATTTTTATTCTTAAACATAAAAATATAAATTGGGAACAATTTAGATCTATACTCAGGTATATTTTTAAAGGATCCGATATAAAAATTGAATTAGGTCAGAATGATGACATACAGGCTGTATGATACAGCTAGAAACATATGATAAAATTACACTATTAAATGAAATTCATTTTCTAGCCCTGTCGGAGGACACTTCGGTATTTCTAAAACTATAAAAAAATTAAATCAGTTAGGCTACAAATGGAAAAATATGAGAAAAGATGTAAAAAACTTAATAAAAACTTGTGATTCTTGTCAAAAAAATTAAAATCCTATGTGTATTACAACAATATCAAACGAAGTTCTTGAAAAAATGTCCGTTGACATTGTTGGTCCTCTAATATGATAGAAAACGGTAACAAATATATTTTAACAATCCAAGATGATTTAAGTAAATTTCTTTTCGCGTACCCCTTACAAGAACACTCTGCAGAATCTATAGCAAAAATTTTAGCTTATAAATATATTTGTATATTTGGCATTCCAAAATACATACTTTCTGATCAAGGGGCTGATTTTTTATCTAATATAATTAAAAATATGTGTAAACTTTATAAAATAAAAAAAAATGAACACCACTGCTTATAGACCACAATCAAATGGCTCTCTAGAGCGTAGTCATCAAGTTTTAGGTAATTATTTAAGAAATATTGTAGATAATAATTATAATTGGGATGAATATTTAGATACTGCTATGTTTTCTTATAATATAATGGTTTACAACGCTACCAATTACCCTCCTGCGACACTTATGTTCGGTAGGACTATTAGAATACCGACCGCTGTTAAAGAATCCCCTGAATTCAAATATTCATATGATGACTTTTTGGACGATTTAAAACTAAAAATAAATGCTTCTCATCAAATTGCTCGACAAAACCAAATTGAAAATAAAGAAAATTATAAAAAAAATTACGACTCTAAAATAAAAAATAAAAAATAAATTCTTAATGTAAACGCCTTAGTCTTATTAAAAAATGAATCATCAAATAATAAACTTAGCCCAAAATTTAAAGGACCTTATAAAATCATTGAATTAAATAATAATGTCAACGCCACTATAAGAATAGGAAATAAAAATATTAAAGTACATACGAACTAAAAGTAATACAGACTAAAAAAATAATTTTCTACAGAAATTAACTCTATTAATATTATTAAATTTAAACATATATTAAATTTACATGAAAATTTCCTAGTTTCTTCTTATAATTAAATTTAGTTATAATTCTTCTTTTAGGGCAAAAGAGTGCCCTACAATCCGAAATAACTAACTATAAAATAGTAAACGTCAGTAATAGCCCTGAAATCCAATATAAACAACTTAGTAAATTAGTCTTAGCCATAATTTTTGCGCAACGAAACCAATTGCACCCAATTATTATAAAGCCTGAACAATTCCTTTACGAAATTAATAGTATTTTAACTAAAATACCAAATAATTTACAGGTACCCATAAATGTTAATATAGATAATTTAAATGAAATATTCAAAATATTAGAAATTAAAACTTTTTATAGAAATAATAAATTAATTTTCACTATTAAATTACCATTGAGTAGCATAAATCATTATAATATTTACTATATAATACCAATATTTATTCCTTTTAATAATAATAATCAGTTTATTCACTTAACTAAAAATGTAAAGTATCTTTTAACAGATTAGAAGCCACTCAAACAAATCTGGAGTCAAACTTTATGGCAATTCCTATAGAATTCAGTCTGCTAAATTCAACTTGTTGTAACAACTTGTACAACAAAATTATTCAAAAACCTTTACATCTCGAAAGAATGGAAAATATAAAACTAGATCAAGCGGCTTTAAACAATCTAGAATCTCAATTAACCTTCCAAGAACGTATTAGTGATCTGCTTACACATAAACATGTATATACATTTTATAATAATAATAATTTTATATTTAATATACTTTTTAGAATAATGGGAATAATTACAACAATATTTATAATATATATTTACGTTAAGTACTGTAAGAAAAATAGACGTACAGTACAATCTGAACAAATACCATTAGCTATAGAACCAAACCCTATTGTAAATAACTCTGAACCAGAACGTAGAATTTACCACACTAGATTAAGGCGAAGGCTTTTAGAAAATGTATACAATTAATAATAACTTTAATTATGTTCCTTTTTTTTTTGTATTATGTAACTATTGTTAAATAAAATGTATGATTAATCTATAGTAAGCCTAATGTAAGAAATAATACATATATTTTTTTATATTATTTCACTTTAAGGGGAAGGGTGTTGTAAACGGCATTTTTAATGTGTTAACTCTTAATAGTCTTTTAATTTAGATGTTAAGATTATATTTTAATGATGTTTTCTGATTTATAAATATTAACCTTGTATTAAGTTGTTATTGCTGTAATCTTAAAAGGAGACACGACCACGAAATAAGTGATCAGTACTCATAGTGAACGTTACATTGTAGTATTTACTTTGACTCTTCCTATTGGTACTCTTCCAAGTGGCTGGAAACGGGCGTAGAATACTCTGTTTCACCACGATATTTTTAGCTTCGATGCAAAGCGGAGAAGCTATTAATTTTATTATGTGTTTTTTTATATGTATGTCGCCATTATTTCTCAGATCTCACCAGACCGATTTCTTTCTACGATATTTCCAAAGTTTACAAATCGTATCTAATTGAAGACATTGCTCTAAAAAATTTAAAAAAAAATTCCTCGTTCCCTGTATTTTTAAAATCGGTAAATTTTGTCATTGTTTTTTTCTTAATACAAACATAACTTTTTGAAAAATGAACGAATCAAAATAATTTAAGTCAAAATGAAATTTAAATGGTAATAAAATTATGTAACCCACAATACAACTACAATTTTTAATAAACTTGAAAAAAATATAAGCGTTAATATAAGAAGGAATCCCAACGTTAATATCGGTATGTTAATTAATATTAGATAATCTGATTTAACTAGAAACTAAAGTTAATTTAACCTCATATACTGCACTATGATTTATAACGTAAAATAAAATTACAGTATTGATACTGGCAAAATAATATGTGCGGTAAGTACGATGTGATTAAATAAAATCTTTGGATTTACTTGGCAAGTGTTCATTAGCTTTCTAACTCGAAATTTAAATTTGTAGCTTTGCAAAAACGTTGGTCGAACCCGAGATAAAATTCAGATAATCAAATTTTTCGGTTGCCCTAAAACACGGATCGTCCGTTACTGACGAGAGCATCAAAAAATTCCAGGGCCGCAATTATATTGTATAATAACTACCGACGTATATGCTATTGCTGGTTTGCAACGCTTTGTCGTCCGACTTCCAATAAATTCCAGTTTGGAACAACCGTCCGACCCCTGAAATATATTGTGTGTTCAAGTAACATAAAATGTAATTTACACGCATTTATACAGGCATAGAATCAAGCTTTTGGCCTCATCTACAAATAAACGTAGTTAATTAATAATTGTAATGAACCCATTTTTTCACTTGATATTTATTTTACACTTTAAAAAACTTTTTATACTTTTTTAAGTCGTAATTGATTAAGAAACTATTTGTTATTAAAATGTTATTTATTTTCTAAATAATATTATGAAAATATAAAAAGAATATATATATATATATGTGTGTGTGTATTTTTTTTATGTATAACAAATTCTAATAAAGAGAAATGATTAATATCATATTATTTTGAAAAATTAAAAAAAACTTTTAACTAATAATTATTTATTTGTAACTGTAATTTTATTACTAGCTATACATTTAAATATTCTGCATCCATTTTCTCTCTTCATAATATAAATAATATATATTTTTAAACAAATATAAATTATCCTAGTTTTAAAATTGATATCATGTATAATTATTGTATTGAAATCATCATGTTTATCAAATTTATAAGCATAGCCCTAAATATGTCTAAGGTTTATAAAAAGATTAATAGTTGATATTTTACATCGTTAATTTAAAATAAGTTAATATTTTGATTAGATCATAATTTTAAGTAATTTTATATTACATTGCAATTGAAGTTAAAGTGATATAGAGACTAAAATAATAATGTAGTATGAAACATAAATGTTTAATAAAAGAATTAAGATTTAAAATAAAATTAATTATAATTATTTTCTTAATCTATTATAACTATTCATAACTAATGATCTTGTTCATCTTTATATAAAATGCTCAAATTGACGACATCAATTTCTTCTATTTTATCACTTACTACTGAATTGTTTCACAGGCAACTGATTAAAAAATTTCAGATTTTCATTATCAAGTACATGACCAATGTTCTAAAAAATATAATAAGGGTTAAATTTTAACTAATTAAATGAGAAATTAATTAAAATATGATTTTCCATTAATATAAATGAAAAAATTAATACTTTCAGATGTATTTTATATAAATTAAAAATATAAACAATACCAATATAAATAATTTTAGTTATTAATTTTCATAGATCTAATTTAAAACATTTTACAAAATTAGAACCATTATATGTAGTACAATAACATTATTTATCCGAAATTTAAAACTGTGTGTATACTTCATTTAATGCTTTAGCTAAAATATCACAGATATATGACCCTTCTAGTCTTTTCGGTCTTAAAAGACTTGTAGTTCTTAATTATTCCTCTTTAATCTATGTGACTATTATTCCAATGTACGATCTAACAAAATATATTATATTACTACCTATAAAGTCTGTTGATTATGTACCTATACAAATAAAAATAAATCTATTATTTACTTTTTAAAAATCGACCAACCATCAGTAGTTGTAGCAATATGATCACATTTAAACATCTCAAATTTTATTTTGAAGGATAATTTATGAAAGTCGTTCTCAATAATTTTCATTAAAGTAGGCCGAGACACAAATTTTCTGTTGGGGAAACCTCGTTCAATTATTTTCTTTAAAACAGGATTTTCAATTATTCTAAATGGTAAATTAACATTTATAATTGTTGCAGGTGTTCATTTAGAATATCTGAAATCAAAATTATATAATATTGATGAGAATGAATAATAATTTTTACAAAAACATATGATAAATATTTTTTTGATTTAAACTAATAAAATTGACAAATAACTGATTAATTTTATGAATTAATCAGTCAGATTGTTATTGTATTAATTGTCAGTCGAACAAAGTATCATAGTACAGTAAATATACTGTATAAGAGAACGCAACTTGGCGGGCAAATGGTAAGATAGAATGATCCTGTTCTCTTCAATAGTCACTCAGTTGCGTGGTCACGATATAACAATAAGTTCATAAACAACCTGGCAACGTTGCTTTGAGAAGTCTAAAGGAACAGTGCGTTAAAAACGTTCATACTACTTAAAAACACCACCACGTTGCCAGTTTGCTTATAACTAATCTTTTATTTGAATTTGTTGCTTTTACTATTTGTGGCTCNTACTTAAAAACACCACCACGTTGCCAGTTTGCTTATAACTAATCTTTTATTTGAATTTGTTGCTTTTACTATTTGTAGCTCGATTGACTTCAGTATTAATTTTCTCGAATGTCTGTCCATCGAATTTATAATAATCAATGAATATGTGGCCGTTTTTAAAATATCTGTTCCATTTGTTGAAAACGATTGTTTGAATTTGTCGCTCAAATATTCTAAAATTATTGCTATTAATAGACTGTCCAGTCGAGTTATTTATATATTTCTTATTTATTACCCATTAGTATTGTAAATAAATTGCATTTATAAAATTTATTATGTTGTTGCGGACCTGTAAGGCTCGCCTGAGGGAATTTTAATATTTATTTGTTGTTCGGGTTACCGTCTGGATTCCCTATTGGGCTATCCGCACTGAGTCCTCCAAGATGTATATAGGAAATAGTAATTATTTATAAAGAAATAAATTTAAAACTCTCGATAGAAATACTGGTTATAAATAGTAAAATGTATTATACGAAAAATATTACGTTACAAGAGAAATATAACAATTAATATAAATGTATATATTTATATAAAATAAACTTTCATAATAACACTTCAAAATAAGAATATGCTATACAATTATAATGTTAGTTCTATAACGGTAGACACTAGACACTAGACTGACTAACGTTAGAAAACATTGATATAGCCAAAAGGGGACTTTTATAATGTTATAACTTTTTGAAAAATGTATGGATCAATTCAATTTTTTTATGAGAAATAATATTTTTTAATAATCCCTTTTTCATTCGACATACTTTATCTTAATCAAGATATTAATAAGGAACTAGCAGATCATGTAACTTTTGGAATAATATACCAATTTTTTAAAATTAAACACTATCTAAAGATTTGCATCAAAGCGTTTTTTATGATAGTGATTTTAATCACTGTCAGATATTATTATACTTGATCCAACTATGTCACGTCACCACTGTGCCGCGACCCCCTGTGCTGGGTTTTTTTTATATTTAGGTAAACAAAAATGCACGGCCGAGAATCGTCTAATTATTAAAATAGTCATAAAAATATTAGAGCAATAAATTGGAAACTATACATCAAATTGGCTACAAATTAATTCGATATTTTACAAAATGAATACTGAAGTCAATCGAGGCATGTAGTAGAGTAAATTAAGTAAATGACTGATCCATTACAATTTTTGAATCAGTACTTCGGAACTTATTTATTTAACTTAAGCGAGTAGAAGTATGCGACCGAAAATGTATAACAATAAAATCCAATTACTAATAAACTACAAGAGAAAAATTGTAGAGTACTAACACAACAAAAAGTCGACATTTCATTAATTAGTTAGAATTTGATGGACATATATTTTAGAATATTAATATTGAAGTCTAACGAGTTAAGTAGTAAGAGTAACACATTCAAATAATCGGAAAAACAAAATTAATGTCATAAATGTATAGTGCACTGAAAAACTGCATGAAAAAACGTGACTTGGCAGCGTAATAGTAAGATACAATATAAATATCCTACATTAATTAATAGTCCCTCAGTTGCGTTCTATCGCGTCCCGCGGGTTAGAAATAAATTCATAAGCAAACTGGCAACGTTGCTTCCATAAGTCTGTATAATTAAAGGGGACAGAGCATTGAATTCATTCTTAACGCTTATTGACTTATATTTTATTTGAATTTGTCGCCGTTTTTAAAATATCTGTTTCATGTGCTGAAAACGGTTGTTTAAATTCGTCGCTCAAATATACTAAAATTATTGCTATTAATAAACCGTTTGGTTGAATTATTTTTCTATTTCTTATTTATTGCCCATTAATATTGTAAATAAATTGCTTTTGTACAAAGTATGCTGTTTATTATGTCAGCTTAGTCAATATTTGGTACAAATTATTTAAGCACCACTTTTACTGCATTATTATTATTCGTTATTCTTCTATTTTTATCAGTCATGATTCTTATGTTAGATAGACGTTTTAAAGTTTTTTTATATATTTTATTTGAGATTACATATTGTAGTAATTAGATGAGGAAGTATTGAATTACGTCGATTTTAGTATAATATAAGCTTTACAATAGTAGTAAGCAATTTTTGAACTCTTAAGCAATATAATAATTCCATATAAAAGGGAAATACAGGGTAACCAAATTAATAATGGTGGGAAAAAGAATATAATAGGGAAACATGAAAAGTATAGGAGGACGAGACTGGGCGAGAGGAAACTGGACGTTTTTGTCGAAAAAACGTCGAGTTACGGGTACGCGAGTGTCTTTGTACGATTTAATTTTGTTTTATGTTACATTTTTGATATTACTTTTTGACTTTGTGTTTGATACGTTTCTTAAATAAAATAGCTATTTTAAAACCTGGACTTAGAGCAAATATTTTATATTCACCGTGTTCCTAGAATTGTGTGTGTGTGTGCAGCTAGAGTCAAGNGTGTGTGTGTGTGCGGCTAGAGTCTAGGTTGGACTGCTGGTCCTTTAGTCAATCTTAATAATTAGTGTACGAGCTGGCTAGTTTTTGGGCTTAACCGTCCTTTAGTGGGTATAGTAAAAAAGTAGTTGTGCTGGTGGCTGACAAGGACCCACCCTTCAGTCTGCTACTTTTGAGCTATACTGTGCTGACGGGTCTAAACTCTACCCCTTTAGTAGTCCACTAATTAGAGGGATTGGGGCTGATCAGTTTATCCAACGGGAGGACTCGAGAAGAGCTCGAACGACGAACTCGTCGTCAATATATATATATATATATAAAACATTAATAAATTTGTGTTAAACTTTTGTGTCTACGTTGGGGCACTACCGACGTACGACAATATATAATGTAATTAATGATAATTTAACGGGTTATGCATTGTAATAACTTTTAATTTAAAATTAAAAAATATAAACAATTGTTTACAAAATTGTGAGCTTAATAAATGTATCAAACTGTTATATAAAAATTACATGAAATATTACTAAAATTATTTTCAAAATGTTGTTTAATTAGTTTCAAAGAGTGGTTGATTTATTATTATCCCCTAAATTTCTCCTGAAGTTATAACCTTCGAAATATTATTTTTGGCTTAGTTGAAAACTATTTATCTCTAAATTTATAGGTAGTTACATATTTTTTAATTTTTTCCTTTATCCTTTTAGTATACCAACTTAATATTTTTAAATGACAACATACATTTGTAACTTGCTTAAATAATAGAAAATAGTCTAATTTAAAAAATGACTTGTCGATAATATCCATTGGACTAGTACTTTGAAAATTATTACTATTTTTATATTTAGGTAAACAAAAATGCACGGCTGAGAAACGTCTTATTATTAAAATAGTCATAAATATATTAGAGCAATAAATTGAAAACTATACATCAAATTACCAACAAATTTATTGACTACTTAATTAAATCGATGGACATATATTTGGCAAAATGAATACTGAAGTCAATCGAGGCAAGTAGTAAGAGCGACAAATTCAAATATTTAGATGAATAATATTAAGTGTCAATGATCGTTCGTGTCCCGTTTATTAGAAATAAGTTTAAACAAACTGGCACCGTTGCTTTTATAAGTCTGTATAATTTAAAGAGACAAAACGTTGAAATCATTCTTAAAAAGGCTTACACACTAGGCGTTTAATCGCTGTATATAAAACACCCGAATTTACATTGAACCATGTACACTTTGAGTGAAAACATGCGTTCGGACGCGACCGATCGCTAAAATTAAACAATACAAATCGCATGTTATCATAAATATAAATTTGAATATAAATATTTAAGTAAACAATTTTTCTTTCATAAATGATATCGGTAAAATTATTTTTGAGTTTTTTAAGTTGTTTTTTAAAATGTCTTACAAACTTTTCCTGATTAATTGGGTTTAATGTAAATTCCTTTAAAATAAAAATATAAAATTAAATTTTTTTACAAAATTCAATGTCCTAGAAATATAATTTGTTAATTATGTTTAATGTTCGTCAGTCTTTTTGCCATGTTTACAAATACTCCATTTACCCTAAAAAAATTATAGTTTATAAATGTGTGTTTTAATGTTTTATAATCATCCAGGAAATACTTAATTGGCCTTTTTATGGCAAATATATATAAAATATATATTATATATATATATTTAGGTCTAGTAGTAAAATTAAAATAAAATGTTTTTTTTTATGTTACAGTTAATAATTTTAAAATACAGTAAATAACTCAACTTACCAATTCATCAAACGAGCGTGTAGACATACGGTAGTACCTGAAGAATTCTTCAGGATAACTCCTCAAAGTTAAAAAATTAACTTGAAATTGACCTTCTCGAGGTCTTTTTAAATTTAGGGGGTGAACCCAATGTTTACGAATAGTTGTTTTTTTATTTATTTTATGTTTTTTTGTACAGCGTAGATACATGGCGTATACAACGCATGCAACTTCAACATCATCTAATGTATCCATACTTATTTTAACTAATTTTATACTTTAAAAAAAAAAAAATATTCAGAGCAAATGCTACCACGAGGAATCTGTTATGATTATACTGTAACTTTTGGCGGGCTAATTTTCTTTGTAAAAACGCGTCAAAACGCTTGTAGTATGAACATGAACGGCGTTTGCGTTCAAAACGCCGCGTTTTTAAAAACGCGTACGCGCGCGTTTAAACGCCTAGTGTGTAAGCCTCTTAAGGCTTTAAATTCTACACGTTGCCAGTTTGCTTATTAACTTTCATTTTATTTGAATTTGTCGCCGTTTTTAAAATTTCTGTTCCATCTGCTGAAAACGATTGTTTGAATTTGTCGCTCAAATATACTAAAATTATTGCTATTAATAGACTGTCCAGTCGAGTTATTTATCTATTTCATATTTATTGTCCATTAGTATAGTAAATAAAATACGTTTATAAAATGTATAATATGACGGTTATGACAATTTTTAGTACTAATTATTCAAGCACCACTTACATTACATTATAGTTATTTTTTTGTTCTATTTTTAGCAGAAATTGTTGTTGTTTGATGGAAGTTTAAAATTTTCTTATTACATTTTATAATATATGAATAAATAATATATGTTTGTTGAGTACTATTTATTCCTCAATTATAGATTGTTAAATACTTTTTAGATTCGCCCTGTATGTATTATAAGGACACCAACTTTATTTTTTAAATGGCATACAAATTTAACTTATTTATAAGATAACAATGTAAAATTTATATTTAGCTCCATTGGGTGCCCCCCTACTGCATGCTATTCAAGTCATATTGTAATTTTTTTTTTTTCACTACTGTTAATCCATTTACGGTTGTGCATATATTTTGTATAGATGTAAATTATTAAGAGTTATTTGAATAAAAAAAAAAAAAAAATTTATATTTAAAAAAACAATTTTTGGTTCAGTTGTAGAATACTACATTTCAACAACGAAATGGCGACAATTTTTTTGATTAATTTTAATTCAATGGACAGGTATTTGTGAAAATTAATGCTGAAGTCAATCGAAGCAAGTAGTATGAGTGACAAATTCAAAATCGGACTAACAAGATTAAAATGTCATAAATGTAGTACTGTGAACATATTGCACGACAGAACACAACTAGGCTGTCAAATGGTAAGATAAACAGCTCTTATTTTATCCAATAGTCACTTTTTTATGTTTTCTCTGGAACAAATTATGGAAATGAATTCATAAGTAAAATAGCAACGTTTATCTCATAAGTCTATAATATAGACTCTATATAATTGAAAGGGGTAGAGCGTTCAAAACATTGTTAAAGCTATAAACACCACGATGCTAGTTTGCTTATCAACTAATTTTTTATAAGAATTTGTCACTTTTACTACTTGTGGCTCCATTGTCTTCAGTATTAATTTTCTCAAATATCTGACCATCGAATTAAAAATAATAAATGAATTACTCGCCGCTTTTAAAATATATTTTATATCTACTAAAAACAGTTGATTGAATTTATTGCTCAAAATTCACCGTTTAATGGAGTGTATTAAACTAATATTACTGCTATTTGTTACCGCCTGGGCTGTTCTAAAAAAAAAGATCCCAAATATAAATGGGAATTAGAACTTTGCCGTACGGATTAATATAGGGGCAACTATTAATCAACAAAAATTTCCTATACAATTTAGAATTTGTTAAATACAAAATATTTTTTGTTTATCCAAAATAGGATTGGTTACCTTAATAAATATAAAGAAATAATTTAAATAACAACACTAATTTTTATTGTTGATGAATTAAATAATCAATAAATATAAACACCCATATTACTTACATTCAGTTTTTAATTTTGTTTGAATACCATGAATAAAATGAACTACCATTTATAAAGGTGATATACCACCTGTAACTTTAATGTAATAATGTTATAACCAATAAAAAATAAAACAGAATACAACTATACGAATTTGCAATTATAATATGAACGATATATTTTAAAACGAAAAATTGAGCAAAGTTTTTACTGATTAATAACAAAACAACAATTACTTCAAATGAAAAAAAACAATGTAACTGAAAAACTAAACTATATAATAATAACAACCGGTACACACTTTATTTTGAATAAAAAACCGACCGAACAACACGGTAATAAGCTGATAAGGCGTCTTAACAGGTGATAGCGCACAAGCACTACCAGCTGACTACACCCAATCAGTGCAGTTCTCACACTTGGCGCGAACAATTGCTATTAATATACCATCTGGTTGGATTATTTTCCTTGTTATTTATCGCCCATTATTATTGTTAATTGATTGCATTTATAAAATGTACACTGTTAGCATCGACGTGAAGCTGAAAAGGTATTAATTTTACTATGATGTGTTTTTTTTTTGTCTGTTACCATTTTTTCTCAGCTCTCATCAAACCGATTTCTTTCAACGATATGTCAAAAGATCACAAATCGTATCTAGTCGAAAACAATACCCACAAAAATTGAAAAAATTTCCCTCGTTCCCCGTAAATAGGGGAAATCCCCCAAAAAATTACAATTTTAAAAATTTGACATCTTTTCAATTTTTTTTTACTGAAAATTGCCATAACTTTTTTAAAAATGATAAAATCGATATAATTTTTTATTATAGATGCATTTACCTAATATTTGATATATTTTTTTTTATAAATCTGACCCTTTACCTGCCCACAAGGGGAGATGTAAAATGACAACTTTTCACAAAAAATTAACTTTTTCAGCTTAACTTTTGAAAGTGTTTTGGAAGGTCTGATACTTTTATATATATCTTAAATTAAAGCTAATGTAATATACTTTAATTTGAAAACAAAAAATTTGACCTCTGGATTTGTCTTCGTGGTGAAAATGGCTACCGAATGCTATTTTCGTGTGAAAATTCTCGATTTGATATTTTACATTTTAAAATTTATAATGCCAAAACTTTTTTAAAAATGTATGGATCAAAACAATTTTTTAAAGAAAAATAATATTTATATACTTCTTTCATCCAACAAATTTTTTTTTTAAATCAGACTATTTCCCTTAATACAGGGGATCAAAATTTAAAAATGCATATAGAAAAAAAAATTTTTTCCACTCAATTTATAACATATATATGTTAAAATTTAGTGTTTATTGCATCAAGCACTATAACTTTTATAGACGTTTGCCATGGAAGTAACAAAATTTACAAATACTTCATAATTTTTTTATCATTTCTTCGTAAAGTTTACAATATTAAATTATTGGATATCAATTTCAAACTAAGATTAATTAATATAATTAAAACTATAAATTACTAAGTATTTATTCATATATTAAACTTATAAATCAAAAAACTACTAATCAGGAAATAATTAAGGAAATAGAAGTTAATGTTGCTATTGGAATAATCCAACAATTTCTTCTAAAAATTAAACACTATCTACAGTTTTGCATTGAAGTGTTTTTTATAATAGTGATTTTAATCACTGTCTGATATCATCTATACTTGTTCCAACAATGCCACGTACAAACTGTGCAGTGACCTCACTGTACTACTGTTTTTTTACTGTAAAAGTAACCTCTAAATTAGGTCAAATTACTGCCTAAAAAAATTAAAACGATGAAAAGAGTTGTAAGATGCATGAATACTGACATGATCAAGGTGTTTTTAGAGCTGATAATGATAATATATTACTGAAATACGCTTATGTAATTTTAAGTATATTATTATTTTTTTTAGTTTTAATTAAATATATATATATATAAACAATAATGATATTTATATTAGTAATAAATGACTAAGTATTATTATAAATAACTTTAACTAATAATTCATATGAAGAACACTATAATTTTTAGATTTCCACTATTTCTATGGTAACTCAATATTGCTATTTGAATGAGATAAAAGTGCATATATACTAATGATTTTATCATAGATTGGTTGGGTTGGGTCTAAAATAATAATTATTATTATAGCTAAAACACTAAATTACGTGGTTTCTCCAGTGACCGATGATTCAAATTAAGTATAAAAAGATATTATGATTAGTTTAAAATAAAATAACATTATCACATTGATTATTAGCTATAACTATAATATAATTGGATTTATAACTAGCATAAAGCATGCAAAAAATTAAGCAATACAGATATTGAGGATATTTTATAATTAAGTCAGATATAATATATTCAATATTTACTGGTTCAAAAAATAAATGGTTTAATAGCCAAAGCACAATTATTAATATTAAAACTAATTTCAACAATAATGGTAACAATTTATATTTACTCATTCAAGTAGTACAAATTAGTATTACCCTGATTTATGTTAAAATTTAATAACAAAAGTTAATATCCTATACTCTTTCACATAATATTCCTTCATCAATAAAATTATTTTGTTAAAATCTTAGTATGGGTAATTAATTTAATAGGAATGTGTCATATTTTTTTATTCTTAAACTAAAGAAAATCCCTGAGTTTGATGTATAGCTTGAGTTAATTTGTATTTCAATTTTCCTTTAGATTGATACTTAGGCAAGTCTAATAAATTAAAACATGTGTGTGCAACAGGTAAGAAATTATCATCTTGGGTAGGTTGAATGTATATCTAAAAAATTATATAAAATTAAAAATAAAAGTCAGTTGATGATATTTTATTTAATTTTAGCACCTTAATTGCCTTCATGCCCATAACAGGTACACGATCTGTACCAGTAAGGAATAGTAAAAATTTTTTCTTGTGTTCTATCTCCAATTCATGAAAAACTTCCCAAAATAACTTAATAGTTGGATCATCTGCTGTATATCCATTCTTGTATTGAGCATTTTTTTCTAACTCGTGCCAATCATAATCTTGATTTCCAACAACAACAGCCATGAGCTCTTGTGAATGAAATAATCTCAAAACTCTACCACCACAAACTTTAAAAAATGCATCTTTAAATACTTTAAACTGTTTTTCAACTCCTTGATTTAATATCATATCAACATAAAGATGTACAAATTCATGTCTAAGTATAATTAGGAATAAGTTAATAAGTCATTTATGTACATTGTATTCCAAAATATGTTACTTATTTTCTTGTGTAACTTCTATATTAGATCCATTAGGTTTTAATGGAACAGTTTGAATTTCTCCATAAACTTCTCTCGTTATTTCAAAAGTAAGGTTAAATATCTCAGCAAGATCAGGTTGATTATATGCTAACAATTCTTCAAAACTCCTAAAGAAAAATACAATTTATTCAGATAAAAGTTCATGAAAAATGTCATTTTGCAATACTTACTTAACCATTGTTGGTTGAAGATCTTTAAGATCTTGTAGTGTAATAGGTTCATTAAGTAACTTTTTATATAATACTAGAGGGAATGGTAAATCTAATATTATGAAATTATAAATTGCTAAGCCACACATTAAACCTAAAAATAATACAAATATAAGTTTCCACTTTTAATATCATTATTTGTCCAACAAAATCATTTCTATTTAATACAAATAAAATCTTAAAGTAAAAATACTCACCCACTAAATAGTACATCGTAAGGTCTTCAAAAGAATAATCATTAAACCAAATCATATTTGTTTCATTGGAATTGATAAACATACCATATTTTGGATCTAAAATTTCTTTAATGAGAAGCATAAAAAATTCTTTTTTTACACCTCCTGCATCTTCAGCTTCTTCATCGATAAATTTTACCTAAATTTAAATAAAATAAAAAATATAAACTTTTTAGTTCTTATAATATAAATAAATATACATGAAAAAATTTTAAATCTGATAAACAATCATTTTTGTATCTTCTTCTTCAAAGTAGAGCTATGTGTAGGTGTACTTATTCTCTGTGTCACAATTACAGTATATATGAAAGGATTATTTTAGATTAACCCATTATCAATTTTCCTATATTTCATTATAAATTAGTGATTTCATATAATTCTGTATGAGTTATTAAGTCAAAAAGCTATGCAAATGAATTTTAGTTTATTTCAAATGTAATGTTTCAATTTTTATCGAAAATGAATGTTGATATTACCAATATTATCTACTTTAAGATAATATACTGTTGTTGTAACTAAGTTTCAATAAAATACAACAGTTGAAACTTAAATGATTTTGAAAATTAAAAGTATATATAATAAGTAGGTAGTTAAGAATTATTTGATTATTATGCTATGTATTTTGAACATGTCTACTTTAATTAATGCATCTACAAATTGTAATTATACAAAAAATACAATGCACTTAAAAATTATTAGTGTACTAAGATTCCATTTAGTCTCCTTTCATAATTAGTAAATCTTTGTGAAAAGAGTCAAAACAATAAGATGTGGGAGTGTCTTACCCTCACCACAAAATTATTAGTAACCTACGTTACAAATAAAAATATGACCAGCCGTTAAACATTTTTAAACTTGCATTTTGGAAGTTATTTACTCTATAATATAATAATTAAAGGTGAAGCTGTTTATTTTACTAATCCTGCCCTGGTATAAAAATGCTAATAATTTTTATAATAATTCTTATTTTAAGCTGGTTAAACATAGTTGTGTTAATCTAAAGTACAAAAGTTAACATAATTTTAAAAATCTAGGGCCAAATTTTTGAAAAATTATACAACATAAAGTACTTTTAACTTCTTAAAATTAAAGATTATATTATGTCTTATATTTTTAAAGTTATTGCATAAGTCATAACTGAAATATCATTTCGTACATTAACATTTTAATAGAAACAACAGTAATAAAAAATGTTATAATTAAATATTGTTAAATTACCTTAACATATATAGAATGATACTTATCAATAATCACTAAATTTCTCTTAATACAATAATAATAGTAAAAATTATTTTTTGTTTTGTTGAGTAATATTTATTTATTTATTTCTAATCACTCAATTTTTTTTAAATAATAATTTTATTTGGCTTTCTTAGTTACATATACATTTTCATTAATCTGTTATAAAATATTTATTAGGTCTATCCCTACTCCTTATAAGGATATAAACATTATTTTTTTAAATAGTAATTAAAATAACATAACATTACCTCACTTCCAGCTTATAAGTGTTAATAACTTCCAACATACATATTCAAAAGTAATTAACCAGTTATTTTGCTATAATCTACTTAAATATGTATGTTGTCATTAAAAAAAATAAAGTTAGGATATAAGTATTAAAAAAGAATGAGTTTAAAACTTTTTAGTCACATAAAAATCGAGAAATAAATAGTCTAAACAAAACCAAAAGTTATTAATATTTAAGAGAAATTTTGCAGTCAATCATAAATCAATCACTATTTATATTAAAACAATTATATTTATTACTAACTTTTAATGGTTTTTTATAATCATGTTCAGTATATTGAGATAATTCATGAATTGCATCTTCAACTAAATTATTTCGTGAAACAGTCAGCTCAATAAATTGGTTCAATGAATTATTACTACCATCTAAAAATAACATTTGGGTAAATGCTCTAGTTGCTGCTGCATGCATAGCTTGTTGCATCTGCAAATAAAAACAATAAACACTGAACTTTTTTTTTTCAGATATGTATTTAAGTTTCATTATTATCTATTAAAGGCAATGCTTTGTCGTTGAAGCTACTTCTCACTCTTTGACTCCAAATACTTCAGTGAAACAAAAGATTCATTAAAGTTTAATATATAAAACAATGAAATTATATTTTTTCATAGGATCTAACAGGATTATGAAACAATAAATGATTAGTTATCCACATTCACCACAAAAGTAATAAAAGTTTGTAATTATAAGTAACTTGATTATGATTGTATTCACACATCAGTATAGTGAAATTATAGAATGACTTCAAATTCATTTGTGAAATCAGGTACCTTAGATTCTTTTGTAAGAGGGATAGTTGTTCATAAATATTAAACAATAAAACTAATGTCAAACTCATTTAAACTAAACAGCTAAAATAATAGATCTACTCTGGAAAATGAGTTGGTAAGAAAACACAATATAAATATATTATGGTGAAATAATAAAATCAGTAAGATCCAATTTTGCAAAAAATATTAGAAGATATGCACTTAAATATGCTAAAAATTTGTTTAAAAAAGCATAATTAGATAAGTTCAACCTAATATTTTGTTGAAATTGTACATTTAACTGATGGATTAAAATTTCTAAAGTACATCCATCATGTACTGCCATAACTTTTTTAATAATTAACAAATCAATATAATTTTTTTTTATAGATACCTTAGGTATTTTTCACTATCATTTGGTATATTTTTGTGAACATTTGACCCATTACCTGCCCTTAGGGAGGGTTTCAACATGACAAATATTTCATAAAATTAACTTTTTTAACATAACTTTTGAACATTTTCTGGAAAGACTGACACTTTTATATATATCTTGCATTAAAGCTTATGTAATATATTTTAATTTGAAAAATAAAAAATTGACCTTGGATTAGTCTTCATGGTGAAAATGACTACCGTATTCAAAAATATGCTATTTTTGTGTTAAAATTCAGGGTTTTGTATTTTATTTTATTTTAAAATACCTGACAAGGGGAGTACTATTATTTATATTTAAATTATCTATTACGATAAAAATGCAAAAAATATTGAGCTTTTCTGATACAATTACTATAAATAGTAGTTATTAAATTTGTTGATTGCATATTAATCTTAACTATACAATTTTTTTAATTCTCATAAAATTTTCTATTTAATGATGTCAATTTCAAACTTGTAAATTGAGCTAAAAGTTATGGTAATAAATTAATTTTTTTTTTATAAACTTTCACAAAAATCAACTTTAAAAAAGTAGGTTAAATATGTCATTTTATTTTTAACATATTAATAATCAAAATCAATATTAATTAAAAAAACGTTTTTTTGTTCTTAATTTTTTTTTTGGTATGTAAATACTTATATTTTAATAATAAATAATAATATTAAAACTTAAAAGTGATAGAAAAAGTCTAATTGCACATTTGATAACATCACGAAAAGTTGATTTAGAAAAGTATATTTTTGTTTCTGATGATAGTTCCTTGTAGTCCCGTGTATAAAACTTATAACAAAGTTATAAGTAACATTTTTTATTTATACATCTAAATTATCACCAGTCTTAAACTAATTATAATCATATTGTTAATAATTTAGTAGTTTATGTTAATAGAATTATACTACATAATTTAGAGCCTATAGAAGTGGACATGGTCTCTTGAGAATCTATGGCTAAGCTACTGTGCACACTAGTGTATATAAAATTTTGATTAATATACTTGGAATTATTGTATAATTTTAAAATCTTAGCGTACTTGAAGTCTTTGATCAATTTGTAAAAGTATTGTTTTGGCTTCAGCGTCAAATAAAAATGCATAATTACAAAAATAAAAACCATGATCCTAAAAAAAAAAATTGTTTGTTTATTTAACATTAAACAAAACATTGATTAAACATACTTTAAATCCGTTAATGTCTGCATGAGTCCATCTCATGTAATCATTTTGAATGTCAATTTTATCTGCTAATTGAGGAATATAAAAAGTAGTATAAGGTACTTTAAGCTGACCTTTTTTTACTTGATGTCCATTTAAATTAGAATTTAGTTTATTTAATTTAGCTAACAAAGATGCAGATAAGACTAGTGCTTTATCCCAATTTGTATTCTACACAATAAAACATTTAAAAAATGAGATCATATTACAAATATATACATGTAATAAATACTTTATTAGTTAATAATAAAATACTAACCAAAGGGTTGGTATTTGAATTTAATTGATCTATAAGTAAGTTTTTAAAGATTGATATCAAATTATCAAAATATTTAATTGGCATTCCGACAATCCACATATCTAAATAAAAGTATAAAAAAGCATAAATTATACACGTAAACTTTATGAATTAAAATAAATAAAAAATGTACAACCTAAATAAAAAGAGTTTAGTAAAATATAAGAAATCTAATATTTTTATTTTGAATACTGTTCTTTTTATTAGGTAGCTTTGAAGTGATAATAAATAATAATTTATTTTCATAAATAACATCCTTTTTAATAAGCTATTTTTTGACTTGAAGAGCATAGAAAATCTTATATAATACAGTGTAACAGAATAAAAATTGAGGCACGATGTGTTTCTAATAAAGCGATGTAGACCTTCTATTATAATTTATGTAATTATTCATTAACATGATATAAACCAAAATATATAAGAAAAAATGTATAAATTTTAATAGTTGTACATAAGTAATATTTAAACATTATTTTCTATAAAAGATCTAAGCATTTAATGGTTATGTTTTAAGCCAAGAGTTACTTTACCAAATTTTTAGGTTGGTTGACACCACCCAGTGTTTATTGAACTGGTATTTATGGGAATGTTTAGGATAAAATGTTTATTTACCATAATTTAAGTACACAAAAACTAATAACAATAGATGCAGCATAACACTAAGAACATTTTAACAACTATTATATCCATTGTACCACACTACTCCTTTTACAATTATATTTTGTTTATATTAAAAGTTAAAAATTCGAAAAATCACAGCTCAATGGAAATTTTTTTTTCTCTAGATTTTTGTCATACTAAGGATTCAAGTTATCAAGGTTTTAATAGAATATTTTAACTTGAGTTTAAAGAATTCAAATAAAGCCAAAACCCAAATTTTGGTGTTCTCATAAGAAAAAATCATTTGATTAGCTTCAATGCAAAGTGGAGAAGATACTAACTATGAGTTTATTTATTTTTAAACACATTTAAGTCATTCTTCCTTATTTATTATCATTAAATCAACTGAATTAAAGATTTATAAAATAGTATATTTTATTTTAAACTTAGCCTAATATTTTTTTTATAAGTTATAAAATTTAGCCCTTGTTCTAATCAAACATTTAAAAATTGTATTTTTTTTTTATATAAAATATAACATTTATTCATAACAATATTTATTTTCATACGATTACATTACTTAATCACAATATATTATTGATAAAAACTATATACTCCAATAAATTATTAAATTAATTTAAGTTATTTTTGCATTCAAAAATATTTATCCATACACAATTAACTAATCAATCCCAATTGGAAATGTTCAATTTAATGAAGTTTTAATTGGCTTTTATATTCAATACAATAAAAGCAATAAATTTAAATTTATCACTGTCAATTTTTTAAATATAAAAACACTGAAAAATCCTACAATAATTTGTTATGAACTACAAATAATGTCTTTATAGTTATCTATAGTTTTTCTTTTGAGCCATCAAGGTTTTTCAAGAGAATATAACTTCAAAATATCAAGATTCTACTGTATTTTAGTTTAAATTTTAATAGGTAATTATAATTAGTAACAAAAACTTACCTAAAGCTTCTAACTCGAGTGGTTTCTGGCACAATAAGGCTTCAGCATAAGGAATTTGAAGAATAGAAGCATTGGTAGTATTTTTAAATTCATGATACAACGGTAAAGTTAAATAAAATCTTAGAGTTTCTAAATCAGGTGGTGAAATAGATAAAGAATCAACAGCACTTGCAATGGAAGTAAGAATCTAAAAACACCATAGTAAGTATTCAAATAAGATGAGATTATTTAAATTTAAGACTAAGAACATAAATAAGGTAACTCATTATTTAAAAATGATTTTATTTTTATTTTATCTAATTGTTAGAATGACCTTTTTTTTCTTAAAATTTAGTCATATAATAATTGAACACTTAGGAATAAAGATTATATAACATTAGTAAAAATAATTTGTTTTAAAAAAATTAGATTATATTGTTGAAATAATAATATTTTCTTGAGTTAGATGATCCACTAATTCTAGGGTGACAAAATATAGGTCTAAACTATTTATTTATGATATTTTTCAAAAAATATAAAATTACATTATTTATTATTTTAGATATAAAAATACATATATTTGCATGTATTTATTTTTGCTTTTTGATTGTTACAAAATGAAGCTGTCTTGTCTTTTCTCAAAATTCCTAATTTAAGAAAAATTTCTTACCAGATCACTTAATGATGTATTATGTACATGACTAATTACATCAAAACACTGTGAAGCTAGTTCTAAATCTATTCCTGAATTATTTATTGTACAACAATAATGTTTATCATATAACAATAAAAATGATCCATTTAAACAAGATAAACTACTCATAACTATTTCAACAAACCTAAAAAATTAAAACATACATTACAGTTAAATTATACTTATAAAAATAATTAGGTAAAAAACACATACAACATTCGTTCTTGGTCAACTGGTACATCAGGTTGTATGGTAGACAAATTCAGAACATCAGATAATTTTACAGTCCAAATTTGTGAGTTTGGCTGTAAAATTCGATAATCATCTGATGGTATGTCTTCCTATATAATATTTTTATAAAAAAAAATAAATGCTTCTATTCAAACATAAAATAAAATATTCAGTATGAATTTTCTAATTACAAAATATAATTATATAGTCATATTTTCATAAAAAATATGTCTAAAGAAAGTGATGGTATTTAAGGTATTCTTAAATGAAGTTTCATTTTGATCTATATTTTTTTTTATATAAAGCACTTTTGAATTGAAGAAATCAAAATTTATTATTTTCAACAATAGTATTTTTTGGAACATTTTTCCTCATTTTAGGGAGTAAAAAGATTTTTTTCTCTAAATTTTGATAGTGATGTCTTAAAATAGATACAATTTTTGAGTTAATGACAAACTAAACAAAATCAAGTTATAAAAAAAAAACACAAATGAAGCTGAAAAATGTAAACCCTAGTGATTTATTAAATCAAAATTATTCTAAAATAATAAATATGGCCTAATCAATTAATAATATAACAGTAACGTTTTTTTTAATACCATTTTGTTTGTAACTTTGACAAAACATTGATCACCTCCGGCATAAATACTTTTGACAATGTACTGTTTATTTGTTTCAATTATTGATGTTCCAAAAGGAGATAGCCAAGGTCCTAAAACCAACTGTGGTGTATTTGAATTAAGAGATACTTTAGTACCTAACTGACCAACACCACCTAAACCAAATGAATACACTCGACCTTTGGAAGGTACCAATGTTAATGTATGGCGCCTTGAAAAAAAAACATTAAGATTAATAATCAAGTTATATTATACTAAAATTTATTAGTTTGTAAATTTGAATAAAATTTAAGGCATCTTATCTACACAACCAGTTTTGAATTCAGAATTTTCTCCAGGAAGGTCCTATGAATAATGGCCAACAAAAAAAAACAATTTTTGGTCATTATTTAACAAAATTGCTACAAGTAAAAGAAGATAAATAACAAAAAAATATGGTCTTAAAATTAATAATTGATTAAATATTCCTATGAATTTCAAAAACAACTAAATTAAATTAAACCTGAATTAAACACCGGACACAATTTATCCTCATCTTGGTGTTAGTAGCTAATAGAATATTTTTCTAAAACTAGTCATGAATTCATCAAATTTTTTGTAAGAAAACTTTTTAAAAATGTTGAAAATTTAGCCCATAAGAATAGCATGTTATGCCATTATTCAGATAATTATAACTATATCAAAGATCATTATTTAAAATGCACCTTAATGGTCAAGGAAGTTTAAGTAATATTCGTCAGCTTTTTTTTGATACTTAATTAATTTTCAGATTATTTTAAATATAAATTAACCATCTTTAGTCTTGTGTTCAAAATATCTATATATCACAGCATGTGATTTATGATAGGTAGTTTACCTCTAGTGTACAGCTATTAACTAAGTATTTTGGCCTCAATTTTGCCAGTCGTTGAGTAAAAAATGTAATTGAAATATGTTAACTTAGTAATAAAGGTAGCTGTAAATATTCTATATACTAAATTTTGTTTTGTTTTATAATGCAACAAAAATAAAAGATAAGTAAATTCAAATTGTTGTATGATTCAATGTAAATAACTAAATATTTTTTTATTTACCGGCCACATGACACTTGTGTTACAGTGCTTCCCATTAATTCCAAAATCTTTTTAGGAACAATTTCATTTGAAAAAGATCCATGACCTAATTGTCCATACATACCAGCACCACATGTAAAAACACCTCCATCCTACAATTAAAGTAAAAAATATTAAACAATATTTTTTACAATAATTTTTAAAATTAACTATATCAAACTATACCTGAGTTAAGAATACAGAAAAATCTTCTCCTGCTGCAATATATTTTACTTTTATACTTCTTAAAGTTTTTAATTGCACTGGTACACTCATATTAATTTCATTATTTAATCCTAGTTGCCCAAAAGTATTTTTACCCCAGCCATAAACCGCACCTGTATTATTAAAAAAAAATTCCTAAATGCTATTTGTCAAATTACTTATTGCTATTAATACTATTTATATTAAAATAATGATTAGTAATTTACCCGATTTTGAAATAACAAAACTGTGATATCCACCACAAGTGATAAATGATATGGGAAGGCCAATTAATGATTTAATTAAAGTTGGTTTAGAAACATTTATAGAAGTAATATTTGATCCAAGTCCTAGTTGTCCAAACTCATTTGAACCCCAAGAATATAATTCTCCATCTATATTTTATTTAAAAAATATAATTATAACTGATTATTTATGATGGTAAAATATGGTAATAAATTAAAAATAATTTAAGACAAATTCCAAATACAATTTGACTAGATAGTTATCACATTAAAATTACACATTTATATATTTAATAAAAAAACAACTAATTGTAATAAATTTATCACTATCTATCATATTGTGCAAGGTTTTCAGATATATAATTCAAAAACATCTTAACCACATCCCTTAAACGCGAAAAAAATGTTGAAATCAATTAAATTCCATAAAAAAAACTTATTTCTATCATTTAAATTTATTTTAATAAACTATCTCATTTTTATTAATGGGAGATTTTTTCTACACTTTGATGTACTTATACAGGTGAATCTTTTAACATTTAATTTATTTTAAAATAATAATTTTTTTTGCTATTGTTAGTTACATATGTATTTCCATTTTTCTGTTATAAAATTTTGTTTGTTTATCTCTCGTGTATTTTTAGGAGTTAACATATATATATATATATTTTAAATAACAACATACATATTTAACTATCTTATAAAATAGTAAATGATCAAATTATTTAATGACTGGTTGATAACTAATGGTTCAATAGTAACTAAAAGTTATATACTTTTATTTATTATTTATAAAAGTTATATCAATCTAAGTTTGACCAGTGTATACTAGGAAAGAAGTAAGTACAGTGTTTTTCTGTTGCTTTCTGTACTTTGTGACTATTTAGTTATCTACTGTCGTTAATTGCCATTTGCAAGTGATAAATCATCTACCATAGAACTTATCAGCAACTAGAGTGTCTACTGTACAATTTCCAGATTTCATACTAATTATAAAATTAAAATAAAAACTACTTACGATTTGTTAGAGCTAAACAGTGTCTGTAGCCACAACTTATTTGCACAATAAATACACTCCCTAAAGATTTTACAATTTTTGGTTTAAGTTGAATTTCATCTGCAGTTTCTCGTCCTATTTTAAAACAACAAATGTTATAAAGTTTTTATGATACCTTTGAATTACTAGCTATAAAATTAAAGCAGTGTATTAAGTCTAGATGCTAAATTAAATCCTATTCACTTTAAGCAATCATAAATAAAATAAAAATTTTTAATATACCAAATAATACGTAAATATTTATAATACTTAGAGATAAATTTAAGGCTTCTGAGCCATAGCAACTATTTTTGGCACATAAGATAATTTTGAATACATGTATCCTATACAAATAAATTTTCATGATTTAATGAGTAAACAGTCTTTAATAATCCATAAATTAAAAAAACTGCCTTTAATTTTGAAAAATAACCAAGATTCCCTCAGCCCCACACCACTTTATCAACCTATATGAAAGTGTATCAGGATCTGACTCATAAAAGCACAGTGGCCTAGTGGTAAGGTGTCTCTATAACGCCTTAGGTTGTGAGTTCTAATCCCATACAATATTTTTTCACATAATTTCTGATATAATGAAAATATTTGTAATATATTTTGACATCTGAGACATATACCTCAATTGCTAATAACTTTTCTTATTAGTAATTAGTAGTAGAAGTTTAGGATAAGGATGGCCGACCCCAAGTAGTTGGGATTAAGGTGAGCAAGAAGAAGAAGAAGATTGAAATTAGTAGTATAATGTTATCTGCCTATACACAAAAAAAAAATGATTCAATAAATTTTTTTTTTAAGAAAAATACAAATAATTCAATATTACTTACTATAATTACATAACTAAATAATTTAGAATGTTCATAAAAATGAAAATTATGTTGAAAAAGTATACTTGAGAATAGCACAAAAAAAAAAAAACTCAAAAGAAATATAATAATTAAACTAGTTTTGTAATTTATGATTAAAAGTAGGTTTATTAACTTAAATAAATCACTAATTTTACCCAATTGACAATGTGAATCAGAACCCCAAGTATATAACTGGCCCCATTCATTTAAAGCCATTGAATGAGCTTCACCACAAGCAACATTTGTCATGACCAAAGAATCAACATTTGATATTTGTTCTGAAATCAAATTTATACCTAATTGAGAATATTAAACACTTAGTTTTAACTTATTTATCAGTAAAATTAAAAAAAAAAAATAGCAACTATTATATTATTATATCTATGAAAAACATTATATCATTTATACTTTTGTTTTTTAAGTAATCTATACTCAAATGAAGAGACATATTTTAAGCAATTTCAGAAATAAATTTTTTTTTGAAATAGTGAGTTATAAAAAATTTTTTTTCATTTATAGCTATAGAAAAATGATAAATTCTTTACTTATTTCTGAATAATTAAAAAAAACAAAATACATGATTTCTACTATAGAATATAGAAGAAAAGTATTTTATAATATTATAAGATAATTTTTTTATGATTTTTAGTATACATTAATGATAAGGATAATATTAGTATACTTTTAATAACATACGTAATTTTGTTCTAGGACCATTATGTCCAAGTTGACCAAAGTCATTACTACCACATGAATATAACTTTCCATCTTCAGTTAAAGCTAATGTATGATTTTTACCACAAGCCACTAAAAGATAATTAAGAAACATTTATTAAAATTTATATTACATAAAATTTTATAAGCAAATTAAATTTACTACCTGATTTAATGTTACAAACATCTTTGAAATTGGTTATTTCAGTTGGACTTAGAATGTGATTATCTTCAATGCCCCCTAAACCAAGTTCCCCATTAACAGTATTTCCCCAACTAAACATACTTAAAATTTATACAATCATTATTGTCTATGAGTTGATCTAATGTTCTGAAAAAAATTAAGTAAGTAATTAAATAGTACTATATTTTTTAATTATAATGTTGAAAGATTTGGTAGATAAATGTGTCAAGTATATTTTTGAAAAGCAATACTTAGGCTAAATATTCCTGATTTTATAACAATTTTTATTATATAATAATAATAAATCTTCATGGCAATTTTAAATTTTTAACAGTGCTCTTATAAAATTTCTAAAAATGTGACACATATATGTACTAATTAACTAATAAATTTGATAATATACAACTATTAAAATTAATTAATCAAAAAAAAAATAAGGTTTTTCTTATACTTTATTGGACTGAATTTCAAAATAAGTATGACCATTTAAAAAAATTATTTGCATCCAAGATTTTTGGGAAATGATCAATATTAAAATATTGTTTTCTTTTTACCTATTTTGTAGATTGATCACAGCCCATACAGGTGGGTATTAAAACTAACCTTTTAGCCATCTAGATACACTACTGTCCATTAAGGTGAATTCAATTATTTTATTATATACTATATTAAGGTGTTATTCATGGTTAATGACTTTACAGTAGTAATGTATATAAAAAAAAATAGAAACTCAAACTATGTTCATCACACAAATTGTATTATTAATAAATGAATAGTGAATAAATCAAATTAAACATAAATATACTCACCATATATTCTTAACTTTTGATACTAGTAAGATTTAAGTAAACATCTAAAATGTTTAAGGAATATAAAACTTTGAAGTTATATATTTTAATGTTTTGATTTTTATATATTTTAAATTAACCCAATGATAATAAAATAAAATTAGGTAACTATTTAAATATATATTACAAATATAAACATGATAATAAGAACTGTAATTTCGAAGTCATTGGTTTATCACAAAAATTAAAGATAACATTAATATTCAAGGAAGATTTACAGATAGTGTGTACAACTTCTTTGGAATGTAAGAAACGCAACAATTCATTATTAGTAACTATGATAATCTCATAAATTCAATTTCACGTATAGAATTATACTTTTAGTATTAGCCACACGATTTCTCTTAAAATAATAATTTTGTTTAAAAAATTATTTTTTAGTTTAATATATTTCTAAAAAAATGACTGGTCGAATGAATTAAAATTTTATAATATAGGGTAAGGGTAAGATGCGGATTATGTTATTTTTATCATTACGCATTGCTCTACTGCTTTTACTGCTCTTCCTCCACTCTATATCTAAAAATGATAATTACTTCCGAAATAAAGAGTGAAAAGTTGTTATCGAACAGTCATTTTCTTAATTAGATTTTATTTTACAAGACAGTTAAATATTTTTGTGCACCATGAAAAAAAATGAAGATCATACCCTTACAAAGTAATTAATATTTTAAGAAAAATCGAAATGTATATAATTATTCTGTATAATAAAGACCCATAAGGTGCAAGTGGGATTTTATATTAGTTCGGCCTGTAACAACAACGTGGTTTGCCACTTGCATAACGACTAGCTATAGTAGCAAGGGTCGCCACCACCTAGGCGAGGTGTCACATCTATCAGATATGATTACCGGACCATAGGTGGAATTTAATTTTAAGTTAATTAAAAGTATAATCTAAGTTAATATGTCGTTATATGTATAAATTATTATAATACCTCATGGTTTATTAAACACAATTATGACAATTAAAGTTGTTTGTGGTTGATATGTAAAACATATCGTAGCCCGTGTCTAAATTAAGGAATAGGGATAAATACACGCGAGTAATTAAGTTACTCGCGCAATAAAATAAATATTACAGTTGAAATTAATAAGGAAATTTAATTTAATTGTTAAAAAAAAGAAAATTAAGTTAAACATGGACAAAAATGCGAATGCATCAAAAACCATGTCTACAAATAAAGGCAATACAAATAAAATAAAATATTTAAACAAAACAAACAAATAATATTACAACCATCATGGACGGTATTGGAACACATCCGTTAATGTTAATCGGAAATTAATGAAGAACACCAGGAGCGGTCTGGACACTCGCTCCTTAGCGTTGGCTAGAAGAAAAGGGAAACACGTGTTCTCCACACATAAACAAAATTAAGTTAATTTACAATAAAATAAAATGAAATAAAATAATTAATAAATTATAGCATATTACATAAATATAATATAAAAAAGAAAATGATAACCGGTCTCCGAAGAGACCCGTCCGATGGTCTGGATGCTTCGCCGAAAAGACCTGGCCGTTCGCCGTTGGCGGCTCTACTCCATCATTGTAAAAAAAGTGTTAATAAAACAACAAATGTGTGCACCCTAGCACGGTCAATGACAGAAGAAAGAACAGAGAAGAGTCAACACCGATCTAACGGCAATTTCAAATCGATAACGGCCAGTCTTTTTGGAAGGGATCAATACTGATAAACAATTAGATTTTAATTATATTTCTCTTTTATCGCCTTATCTAGCGGTCAGCGGCAAAATAATGAGTGGTTGACACCGCTGTGTCAGAAAAAGGTTCTTTCGCGCGATAAAATAAATAAGTAGACATAACAAAAAATCATAAACGGTCCACCTTCGAATTTGTGCGTTACAAAGGAGTAATAGGGTAAGTGCATGCGCTTTTTTATTCCTTTTTACTTAAATTACCTTGAAATAATTTATGTAATATTTCTTTGTCAAATAATTATCATATATAATATTAAAACTATCAATGATGGATAACTAGTTAAAAAGTTTATCTTTTTTAACTTTTCAACTTAATTAGTTAATTATTTTTCAAGTAAACTTTCTAACTTAACTAATTTAATTTTAGGATAGGAAATTTTTTCCCCCAAATATTATATTTATACAACAATAAATATAATTATCTGAATTTTTCAAAAATGTATGTGATTTTTAACTTTTTTAATAAATGGTTTTAAAGATAAAACAGTGCAATCAAAATGTACAAACGAATAAAAAAAATGTTTGTTATCATTAATGTTTTCCTCCTATTCAACTGAAAATCGATCCTTAAATTTTGTTTTGCATCACTGACTAATAAAAAATAATTTTCAGAGATTTTAGCCGAAAAATCAATCTTAAATGAAATACACTTTTTTTTAACTAGTTAAGTTTTAAAAAAATGTCAACTTATCTTTTGACTTAGCTAGTTATAATTTGGTGACTTAACTGTTAATTTATAAACATAGTTCATACTTAACTTAACTTGAGTTAATTATTTCGATTAACTTGCCTATCCTTGAAAACTATCAGAATACCTGCATTTAAATTGAAAAGTTCAAAAAAATTAAAATTTAACTTTCCAGTCCTTATTAAAGTATTAAAATAGTGATGGTTAAACTTGTCAACAAAGAGGCAAGTGAAATTCTGCAAATTATACAATCTTATAAAATATTTTTTTGATTATATAAGTAAATAACTATTTTACATAATGATATAATTTATTTAACATAAATATAAAATAAATTAGATAATCAATTGAAGAGTTATGTATTTTTTTCGTCAATGTCATTTATTCAAGTTTCATGTAAAATTGTTTTATTGACATTTTTTATTTCTTAGATCATTAAACGAAAATAAACCATGAATTCTCAAATAATCCAAGTTATATTTTTAATTAATAAAATCTATACAACCGGTATCATACTTACCTAAGTGTGAAATCGCATTTAAATAAATTATAATATTATTTAATTGTTTTAGTATTAAAATATAGTAATAGCAAGTGTAATTAATCGTTTAGTTGAAATTAATAGCATGAAAAGATCAATATTAGACAATGTACCAAACGGTATCAAATTTTTACAATCGTGTGTAACAGTTACGATTATATCGGTAATTAATAACTTTATATTTAACAAAGCTACAATTATAAAAATTACAATATACAGCAGATACACTTGCTCCAAAATTACACTTACCCCATCTCACTTTAAATAATATTATAATAAATAGATCATTCAGAGTTGATAGTCAAAATAGCAATGAGTAAAAAAAATAATATAAAATCAAAATGATCACTGTTTCCAACAAATTGAATGTCACGGAAGATTTTTTTTAAATAGTGATATTTTCCTCAATCTAGTGGTGTGTTTATTGTAAGGGTCACAATGCCCTTTGAAGAAATATCCTCTTTATTGGAAAATTAATGCTGGTAATATAAAATTACCTTTATTTGGCTAAAATTTAAGTGAATAATTAGCAAAATGAGGTCACTAAAATTTGTATGGTAGATTATCCCTTTTAATTATAAATTTCTAAATTATAGCCTTTTATTTAAACCAACTTTATTGAAAATATAAACATTTTAAACTTTAACTTTTGGCGACGCACGCAGAATCAGATGGGGTAATTATTTACCAAAAAAATCGTATTTCTTAATTAATTCTAATATATTTTTAAACATCGAAAAAAGCTAGTGGAGTTACTTCTGGTGTTAAACACCAAAGATGACCACAATTTGTTTAACGTTGACTAAATTTTTACATAAATAGTGTCATATGAAATGAGGTTTTTAATAAGTTGCAAATTCATATTTGGCGCTAGAGCAGTATCTGAAGCACAGAATCGTTTTTTTATATATACTCGAATTATATAAATACATAAGTCGCAGAAAACATGGTTTTCATTTAATGACAATTTAAATTCTTTACGAAATAAAAGTATTTTTATAGAATAGATAGCTGTCCATTAAGCGTAATTAATTAATTTGATTATTGAACGTCGAGAAGACAATTTACAAAAATAATACAAAAATAATACATGATAATCTATATCAAAGAACAAGAAACAATATGTATAAAGTGAGAGGAAAAAATGTACAACACAAATTAATAATAACAATAATTTTAAAAATCAGGTTTAAATATCCAAAAAAGAAATTATTATACAAGAAGTAGATTTGACCAAAAACATTAAATTGTTAAGAGAGCTGAGTATTCTGTGTAGAGTAATATTATTATTATAGGAGGTACAATTGACGCGGTCGCATTGCACTTCCGGTTTTACCGCTGGATGGCGACTGCGACACAGCTACCTTTCCTCGTCCGACAGGTCGCGCGACGCCGATTGACCGCGGGTGACGAGAACCAGTCCGGCGATGCAATATAAACAATGAGAGGCAGGCACGTAGACAAGGGTGGGCCTGGGTGGGCCTGGCCCCCCTTAAATTTAATGTGGCCCAGAGCCGGCCCCCCCAAATTTAAAATTCAATTATTTTTACGAATTATTAAAAACGTGCTAGGCCTTATATACATTGAAATTATTATTAATTTGTGATTACTATTGAGTAATACAGTTATTATTATGGCTGTATTTTCATTTTTATATTCATAGAAAACGTTATTTGAAAAAGATAATGTTCTNCTCAGCTCTCACCGAACCGATTTCTTTCAATGATACGTCAAAAGATCACAAATCGTATCTAGTCGAAGACATTACCCTCAAAAATTGAAAAAATTTCCCTCGTTCCCCGTAAATGGGGGAAACCTCCGAAAAAATTACAAATTTAAAAATGGCTAATTTTCGAAATTTATTCAATTTTTTTTACTAAAAACTGCTGTAACTTTTTTAAAAATAAACATATCAATATAATTTTTTTTTATAGATGCATGATGTCATTACCTATCATTTGGTATATTTTTTTTATAAATCTGACTTTTTACCTGCCCACAGGGGGGGATTTAAAATGACAACCTTTTACAAAAAATGAATTTTTTTAACTTAACTTTTGAAAGTGTTCCGGAAGGTCTGACACTTTTATATATATCTTAAATTAAAGCTAATGTAATATACTTTATCATGAAAAAAAAAAATTTCGGACTTTATTTTATCTTCATGGTGAAAATGGCTA